CCGGACACGTAGCGCATCGCCTTATCTGTTTTTACCTTTGTTAAAGTTTGACGACGCGATATTTCTTCAGATAAGTGAATTTGGTACAGAGGGACCAGCGAGAGTCTAATCGCAGGTGTGCGTGCGTGAGCACGCGTTCTCTCCCATTTGTAGCGTACATGTTTGATGACTTCTCAAATAACATAAGTACTTTCATCCTGCCGACGGAGTGAGTAACGAAGAGTCTCCGCGCAACGGAATTTCGGCATTTTCTGCCGACTCATTTGTCGCGTATATGGCAAGGGGTTCGGCAATATTTAACGTGCTCGGTAGTCTTAAAATTTAATTGCAAGAAAAGTTGATGTCGCAGCTGCGGCGAACGACCGAGTCGACGTGTTACCTGCGAGGCCTGATCGAGGGTTTCGTTGAATGCGAGTAGTTCCGTGTCATTACTCTCCGCGCCATTAGGTATTCTGAGAGATCGTCGAGCCACGACTTTCGTCGATGCTCGCAATGGGGTTGCATTCGTGCGAAATCACCGGGAAAAACATTGCCTTCGGGTCTCGTCGGAGCGATATTGGAAAGTTTCGGTTTAACGTGAATTCGCGCGAATCCTGGAAAAATATAACTAAACTGACCTACTATTCTGTTCTTGAGCTCTAAAACTTTGTTGGTGTGAAATTAAAACTTATGCACTTGGGTGCAAACCAGCAACACTTCTTTACCAAAAAAAATAGTTAATTGCAAGGAAATTATTATATATTTCCTTGCAATTAACTATTTTTTTAAGATGTTTTGGGGGATTGACGCTTCTAGAAATTAGATCCAAAAGCTGAGATACCTGCGACACTTATAGAAAATTATATCAAGCAAATAAAACAAAAGCACCTAAATTACGTTATTTTGTCACATTTATCCAATGTTCTTATATGTTATCTTTAATTTTATATTTTTTTAAATTTTCAAAATTTCGCGATGCACGTTGCTCTCTTATTAGATGGAGAAAGATCCTCTGATTTCTTTCCGACCATCATAAAATAGCATTATTAAGTAAATTACCTACCACTGTTTTATTATTTTAATTTTCACGAAAAAAGCAAACTCAACAAAAAGTTTAGCGTAAGGAAAAATTAAACAACATTAACATCACAGCCGAACGAGCTTGCGAACAGAAAGCGCTACTTTAGCTCCAACTACTGTATACAGTAAACGAAGTTCATGCACTGTCCGACGGAATTTAGTACTTTACAGCCGAGAAACATGACTGTTTTATCATGTCAGTTTTGGTCTGTTTTTCCTTTGCCGTTTCAGCAGATTCGTGAAATTATCTCTTGCGCCGAGCGCAGCGCGTTTATGCGTTCTTTATAAGGGAAAGTGAGAAATATGTCGTCGTGGACGCCAAGCTGAAAAAGTATCGTGAACAGTTTTACCCAAGTTTTGACGTTTTAATATTGATTCCCGGTAAGTTATATTTACTTCGGACGGCTCGTTGTGGCGCACGAATAATAGAATGTCAGGCTGTACTTCCGGAAGGATCAGCAATATTGCGAGGACGATGGGGAATGTACATCGACGATATGAAGCAGTTGGGAGAAAAATTGGCTTCACCGTAGGAGATGATTGTTTCGCCGAGGCAACGTCCGGAAGCTTTCTGTTTAACGCGCGCATCAATCTTTATATTAACGAAATAAGTTCTTCCCCGACAAATCCACGAGTCACTTAGAAAAAGTAGTGTTCTGTTCGGCTCATCGAAAAGATTAGCAACGTGAGGCGAATAAGGATAAGGAATTAAGCTAGAGGATAAAAGGTAAATAGCGATCTTGAGGTTACATTTGCACGACAAAAATTTACGTTACTTTAATTTCAACGTTTCCCTCCCTCTCTCTCTCTCTCTCTATCTCCCTTTTTTTCTCTCAATAATGATTCAACGAGTATTAAATATTTTCCTCGCAAAAGGAAGGAAAAAGGAAACAAGAATCGATACGTTTTATGCTTAAAATAACGCGTCACGCGATTCTGTGGGAGGATCACTGAAGAAAATCCCAAATATAGGACACAAAAGAAGGAAGGAGGGCGACTTTGAAGTATTATATTATATCCATTTGCTTTCTTAAGGAAAGTAAAAGCTGGGACGAGACAAAAAGGGAGTATCTCGTCCGGAGATGTCACGTGGATATCTCCCGATCTGTCTGTAAATCGCGTAATTGGATATCGCCGGAAAACACGCCGTAAAATCGGAAGATTTTCCGTTCCCGCGGATTTGTCGGGCGGCCTTGCAGCCTCGGTGTGGTGGCTGAAAGTAAAATACAAGTTGTCGAGCTTCGGACGATGAATTTCCGGAAAGGATTTTTTCGGGATTCTTACGTCTACACGGGATCGATAATGTATAAAACGTTAGTACCTTACGTGTAGACGTGATGCCCTATGACACGTCTTTTTCTTTCTTTTTTCTAAATAGTATTTAGAAAAATTATATATATAAATATTTATTATTTATGTAAATATTTATACTACCGGAGTAACTTGATGTGGTCGCAGAGCGTACAATTGCGGAAATTCAATTAGCTGCATTGCTCGCGATGTTTTGCGTAGAACGCAGCGACACAATTTCGGAGAAATGCGCTTGATTTATCGGACGCGCGCGGATGCGGCAAGACGTAATTTCGCCGTCGTGCCGAGCAATTCAGAGATAAGTTTATTAAGCGAGCGTTTGTGCGGATACTCACTTACGCGTCTTACGTGCGAGCGACACGTTTATTCCGCTCATACAAATATTTGTATAAAATAATATTAAATAAAATACGTGTATAATATTTTGCGGATCAATCTCATATCAGACTGTGTCACTAATGTTGTGCACCGATTCTATGTTAGATTTCAGAATCGTGTAATTTGAATAAATAATAAACCTTCGTCTCTGCCGTGCTTAACGGGTCGAAGGATGCGTTTCCGATGGATTTCAAATGAGAGATTTGACGAAGGTCGTTGGGGCGCTACTAATGATAGCCTTTTTCGTTGATAATGGGCGCCTTTGGTTCTATTTCTGCCATTTTTGCACTGCAGGCATGCCGGCGCACACGTAATACAGTTAAAAATAAGTCCACTGGAACCCCAGCGGGAACCCAGATACAACAATATCGGTTTTATTTCCGTACTTTTGTCTGATGTTAAGCGACAGCTTGTACATACAGAACATACGCGCGATTTTAACGAGCGAGCGATTCATTGATAAACCGACCGGCTGCTTTCTACGTTTCGCTATTTTTGTTTTGTCATTTAGAGCGACGTCGGTGAACACACGCGCACACGCACGCACACACGCGTGCGCATTCGCACACACACTACGCGCATAATACGCGCATAATACGCACAATATATAATCGATAATCGCGTCCGCGTTCGAAATTCCTCCGTAATGAAAAATCTGATCGGCTTTTTGGCGTGAAATTCGATTTAACTCGCTGAATTTCGATTTATTTCTAGAGACCGCGTATCATCGTCGTGCGCGCGCTTATTACGGTTGACATTCGTAATCTACGAACTTATCAGAGTTAAGCTGGCTTAGCTTGTCCGCCATTAAGGGACGCCGAAATCCACCGCATTGATATTGTACACGAGGCAGGCAGAGGCTGAAACGCGATAATTATTACAGCGTGCTAAAGCCGGCGGATCGTTTCAGGTTGAGATATTGTACCAACAATGATGTTATATGCAACCGTTATACGTACATAAACGCATACGCGGGTTGGCTTATTCCGAAACTGACAGTATTTATTGTGTAATCATTCAAATGGATGTCGGACGTATTATATTACGGTATCTAATGGCGAAATTCGACACGTTTCGTACACGCTTTGCACGATACATCGTGCTCTGTTTGACGATTTATCGCAGGTAGGAATGTTGCGATACCGTGGAAGTATAAACACGGATTTTGAAACGGGTGTTTAATGAAGAATATCGATATACACTAGTGATACCAATGTCAGAACAACAATATCGATATCGATATTGAAATTTTAAAAAAATTTCGAGGAAATATAAGAATCAGGTGATTATTTTACAAAGTTACTTTTAAGGATTTCATACGTATAAGCGTAATAATTTTACTTATGGTGTAAAAGTACGAGTATTCGGCGTATGTCAACAAATGTTTGATCGAACGATTTTCAATTTTAATCATGCTGAGGCAAATAATGTAAGAAAGATTCGGACGATTCATATTTATATTCCAGCTAACAAGATGACGTCAAATGGCGTCTTATTAAAACTGGACACGTCATTAGGACGTCATTAAGGCGTCATTCAACGTCACCTTGTTGGCTAGGATATTCAGTTGTGCTCTTCGCATTTGTCGTACGTGTTCGCGATAATTAAATCGCCTGACGTAGGTGGAATACATGAAACTATATTAATTAGTTTCAGAAATTTGAGAGATACGGCACGACGACGGATTGTCATAAATGAAAAATTGTCTCAACTTTCATTATTGTTTGGTATACAAAGAACGCTCACGCGATTATGTTATATATTTACGAAAACTTTCCGCGGACGAATTTGCATAAAATATAAAGGGAAAACACAGCGGGATAGGAATACCAACGAGAGTGTGTTTTGCATATTCTTGATACAATACAGAGACAAGGAAAAGAGAGAGTAATTCTGCATTAATTTAAATAATGTGACAAGCGGGACAGTCGTCGAGACGAAGACTCACCACGAGAGGGACTCTGAGCTCCGTATTCTCAAAATGATCATTTTATTAAAAAGGGTTCCGCCTGGCAAGATTAATAGCGCCGTAAAGCGCCATTTGTAAGAACATTTACGACTCGGAACGCGAATGTACTTTATATATGGTATTTTTAAGTGAACGTTAATTGCGAAAGTGGTGTATTTATTCCTGCGACTTTTCCACTTTCGTAACATTTACTGTTCCCTTCGTGTTAACGTTACGTTTTTTCTCTCGCTATCTGACCACGAAAGTTCTCGATATTTTGAATGCTTTCTTGCTCTGTTCGCAGGAACAGCAACGTCTCGGGCGAGAGATCGCCGTTCGAGGGCTCCTGCTGCAGCGGACAAGGCGCTAGCACTGAAAGTGACATCGAGGAAATTTCGAAATACAGGGTTGTCTTGCTGGGAGATTCCGGAGTGGGAAAGACGGCACTGGTCTCGCAGTTCATGACGAGTGAATATATGAACACGTACGACGCTAGTCTAGGTAAGTCTGTGCACCCTTGCACGGCGAACAATGTTGCGTCATCTCTCAGTAAGACTGGTGCAAACTTGTAATTATTTTCCGAGTTAGAGGGATACCATACTTGGAAACTTTACTGACGGAATATTGTATTTTTTTTCTTGCAAAGTTCACATCTTATTAGTTGTACGGAATTATAAGCGCTTTTACATTGCAGTGGAAGTATGCGCGAAAATAAATTGCAACATTGCTCAGTAATAATAATTAATAGAGCGAAAATAGTTAAAAATTTCAAAGTGGCATCTCTAGCTGTCAGTTAGCGTAAATTTTTACCTGATACAGAAATCCTGTAACTTGTACATACCGAATGTGCACTGGAAAAAGGATTTGATGATAACTATTGAAATTTAGTGAATATTCGTCAACCAAATATTTAATTACTGCAACCAAATAATTTAGTACCATGTACTAACTATGTATGTATTATATATGTATAATACATACAATATGCGGTAGTATACAATACTGTATATGCAATATACGGAATTGAATTATTTAGTTGCAATAATCAAATATGGTCGGCAAATTTTAGTACTTATTGTCAAATCTCACTAAATTTTAGTACTTATTGTCAAATCCTTTTTTTACTGTGCCGATACTCCAATCAGGAGAATTTCAGGGAACATTTTTATACGTTTACAATTAAATTTAGAAGAAAAGTTTGCAGAAAAATATTTATATGCTTTTTTAGATTTTCCGTTAGGTGAAGCAGAATAGCGTATATTCATTGCATTCACATTTATATTGCACTTATATTTACATGAGATTTACGGTTTGTAGGAAATACAAAAAGAATGACGTGATCGTGTTTGTGTAACGTAACATTTTGAGAATTTCTACGTTATCGACACTTATCAACTTCATCACCGATTTTTATGTCCTCTTCACTGACTGAGACCAATTATTCTATGCATAATGGTTATTCTTCATTAGGTTCCTGACTTTCCGTTATTCCGCGCAACTCGACGTTTAGCGCGTATCCGCCGCAGGACGATTTAAAGCTGCAATTCCTCTCTTTTCTCGTCATTTTTTAATGAAAAAATTTCAACTCTGCAATCTTTTTCCTCCCGGAAAACCGAGATTAAATTAGGCCTTTCCAGGAAAAAGAGCGAGAAAATTTGTTCGAACGCTTTCATCCCGTTTCTGTCCCTACGAGACATTGTCGGCCGTGAAATTTAGTCCCTCGGAAATTTAACTCCGCGTTTGTGCATTTTCCACTCAGACCGCCGCGCGACAATAGCCCCCAATCATACAGGGTCTTTGCCGTTTAATTAACTTCCTCTGAATTAATTAATTAGTTAATTAAAAAAACTCGCGGAAGCCCGCTCGCTCGCGTTTAAAGACACACGGCTCCGTTGCGGGTTTGCGCGGCGCAAATACACCGCGCTTCAGAGCGCGCTTCAGAGCGCGCAGTCTGAAAAGAGGAGGAGGATTAATAATAAAGAGGAGCCGGAGAAAAATCCACTTTGTACTTTCGTTTTGCATTTTCGCCGCTCGCTTTGAAACGCAGGTACACTCCGCGAGAAGAGGGCGCCCAGCCCCTGCGCAATTGCACGAGCATATTGTGTGCGGCCTCGGCGCAATCATTTCGAGGCGAGGCGAGTTTCCTAGCGACATACGTTCGTTCCTTCCTTCGCGCGATCGCGGACGGTCATACACGTGCACAAAACCCACGTGCGGCTCGGCGCATCGCGCTACTACCGAGAGTTCACGAGAATCTCACCTTCTCCACCGCTCTCCTCACCTCTCTCGCCCCGATGCCTCGCCGATACGTGTGTACAATATTCGATAGCGCCACGATGCACCGTCAAATTGTGCGTAAATCGATTTACCTACATACTTGCGCGTCTACTCGCTTGTAAACAGGCATAACAGCCTTAATACGTGAAGTTATACTTTCCTGGGACGCTTAAAAGTTGTTTGGTTCGAAGGGTGAAAAGGAGGGAGGAAGGTGGGAAGATGAAAGACGGTTTTAGTAATGTGCATTGATTCTCCTAGTTATTTTGCGTATATAAATATTAGGGTGAAGTCATCGGAAAATGAATACTTTCCAAAATATTTCACGATTTATCCGGGCGCTTTTCAATATATGATATGAAATATCTCGCAAAATATTCGTTTTTCGATAAACCACCATAAGACTGTTTTTTTTTTTTTACGTAGAATGACGGGTGGAATCGATTGCTTTAAAAAACAAATGGGGAAACCTAAAAAAACTTCATTGCATTTTCCAAATAAATTTCTTCACCAATTTGCGGTGATTAGTATCACTAGATGCTTTCTCTCATTCTTTTATGTACAGAAGCATTAAAGTGTGGTTGTCGAAAAGTGAATATTTTACGAGATATTTCATGTCTTGCACTGAAAATTATCGGGATAAATTATAAGATATATTGGAGAGTATATTAATTTTTCGATAATTTCACCTTAATACTTAATACGCTTTATACAAAATGCTTAGGAGAATCGATGTGCGTTACGTCGGATCGGATTGTGCGATGCGTCGTTTTTCTTTTGCCTGACATGTTTTTCAACATTGGATACCTTCGGAACTAAATATATACTTGGCGCGAGACGCCACTGCGTCTCTTGATAAATTAATGTCCCTTCCATTTATATCGGTACGACTCTGACGAGAGATTCTCCAATAAACTTCTTGAAGAGTCTTATCTTTAAAATCAAGGTTGAACAAGATGTAGTATCATACCTTTAATTCGCCGCTAAGTTAGCAGAAATTATACATTCATTTCGTATTCATCACTTCGAATTGCTGTCAGATATCCTCTTTCTCTCTCTTGCTCACTCTACCTTCTCTATCTTGTTCGCGTGTTCATTTATCTCTCATCGTAGACTCAAGATATCCCACAGATATTCTGTCACGAATAAATTCAATTCATCGCCACCTGAAGGAGAAGAAAGAGAGGGAGAAACGGCGGGCAGTGATGGATTTGCTTTCTTGAGAAAAGCAGGATGTTGCAAAAGGGAGAAGCTGGATGCTTATCCAAGGGGAGGAAATTTGTTATGGTGCGCGTTACGACGGACACCCGAATGAAATGATCTTGATATACAAGCGACGGCGGTTATGACGCATCACGCGAAACTTCGCCTCGATAATGCGCTTCCATATACTCGACGGACTGAAAATCAATGAGCCATATTTTCCTCGTGGGGAAAACATAGCGACGGATTTTTTGTCCAACAGTGCGTCGCTTTCACGGGACATTGTTTTTCAGCATTTATTTACTTCGCATTCGCTCGTAGTACGTTGTTGTTTTTATCGCTTCACACACACAGTAGTTTATGATTTATCCGCGATGTAAATTTGTGAAAATAGAAAATACGGTGGTAGCGAGAACAACGCTTTCATTTAAAATTGGAAAGTTTTTCCCTTTCGTGCGGATTTTTAATTTATGCGTCGGCATAAAACGTGTATAATTGAATTTATAATAACATTATAAATAAGAGTTGCTGTATGCAGAGATAAATTTGTTTGCTTACAAACTCGTAAGTTCGACGTGGTTTTAAATAATTCCGATCTCTTTAACTTTTCTTCTTAATTTTAACGTCAGAAAAAAATTCGCGCGAATTCACCTCGCTTGAACTAAATTCATCGTCGAATATTAACAGTTTCGTTAAAATGTGATTGTTTCGGGAGGAAGTGATTTCTCCCGCGACAAATGCGCCGCGTCTGAACAGAGCGAGCGAGTTATAAATTATTCGCAACACGCGAGCGCTTACCCGAAGCGTACGCTAATGTCATTCGATTAATGTGAGAACCTGTTACGCTCCAGATTATGAGAGTTGTTTGTTGATCTGCATTCGCCATCGAATGTAATAAATGCACGCTTGCAGAGTGTGGGTCGTTGTTAATGGTGTCCAAACTTGCGCGCGACAAATCGCCGAGTTTCCGCAATGCAACAGAGATACCGCATCAGGTCGGGCTCCCTCCTTGAAGCTCGGTTCGTTTATTCAAACTAATAATCAGTCTCGTCGTTTGTATATTTTATGTGGATATCTATGATTAGTGATTATATTTTAACTAATTATATTTTATACAGGGAGAAACTCTCTCTCTCTCTCTCTCTCTCTCTCTCTCTCTATGCCGAGAAATAAATATATCATTGCCAAGCGGTATATGCTTCAGTCGATCGAACGAAATTTAACGGACAGACAGAAATGTTTTCATTTCCGTCGGGTTCCGTGAGAAGCGAGTGTCTTAATCGTTAAAATTTTTATCGGAATAACTATCGTATTCAGGTCGGTGCTATTTTCACTTATGCTATTGGAGATTTGGGAAAGATGAAATCTAGTTTCGCTTCATATTTTGCGGATTTTGGGCACAAGGAATTGAATTCACCGAATACCAAGTTTCAGTATATTATATATAGGCGAAATTTTCTATTATAATACTTTTTATACAAAACGAGAATTTTTTGTAAGTTAATCCGCTATATTGAGTCAATTGTTGTGAATTTTGAAAGTTTTACGTCACATTCGGAATTAGCGATTCATAATATTATTAGTATGTGAAGTTTATATTGGTATATTTTATTAGAGTATGAAGTTGCAAAAAAGTTGGAGACAAAGAAATTTTTTTTTGGTTTTGAAAAGTCTATATTTATACCCCATGCTTTCATAGAGTTAAGACAAATGGTCATTGTAATAAAACAAAGAGCGGTAGTTAACTTTTGAACGCTGTTGTTCCAGTTTGCAAGATGTATTCGAGTTATCGAGAAAAATTTGAAGCATGATGAAGAGTTTATTATTCTAAAGCACAAATACGTAACAATACGTTAATTTTTGTCTAGATATTTTTGTTAAGCAATATGATTAATTTAATAGAGCTGAATGAATAACGACAATATTTTACTTCCTACGTTGATTACTATCATTGATACAGATAGACAGAGAGAGAGAGAGAGAGAGAGAGAGAGAGAAGAGGAGGGGAGGGAACTCGTGACAGCATATCTAATTAACGATATCCAATTAGCTTACTGTTAACTTATATTTGCATTATGGGACACAAGTAAACGCATGAATTCATATTGAATATCAACGTGAACGCGTGCTCTCATTAATAGGCATTTGCAAGTAATAGAAGATTGGGAATAAGTGCGAATGAAAATCTTTCGTGTGATTTTGAATGCAAGTGGCAGGCGTGAATATTCACGGCTCAACATTCAGCATAGGCCTTTGTCTTCATGTTACAGACGACGAGTTCGGCGAGAAGACTGTCTCCATCTTGTTGGATGGCGAGGAATCGGAAATGGTATTCATCGATCACCCGCACGTGGAAATGAGTGTAAGTACTATTATATATATTTACATATATGTATAATAATTGAAATTGAAATTGTTTTATACGGGGACAATACATCGTACAATCAACACGAAGAGACACAGTGATATTAACGTGTTCCTTATGAGGAACGCTGAAGCATATTATCCTTTACGCGAACTCTTTTTCAGCAGTAAATTCATTTTGCGTTCTATAAATCGTCTTATTATTACAATTTGTCTTTTTTAAGTCGTATATACGAATAGAAGTTCTGCCTTGCTTCACATTGCAAGTCGTTCCATAAATCTCTGTACAAAATAAGACGCGGGAATCTATGTGGCACGTTGCGTCACTGCCTTAGTAAGCTTAGCCAATCTTATATCTTTTTATAGCTTCTAAGAAACCTGTACGGCATATATATTTCGCGTAAGTTCAATTTTGAATAAACGCCGACCACCGGTATGATTATAGCAGCCCCAGCTTAAAGAGCTGCAGGTGTTCCGAGCGTTACCTTCACGCGGCACAAGATATTTCCATCGCGAGTCGATACGGTGTATGGAACTTGCCCGGCATGCATAAATTCGATAATAAATGCAAATGAAGGAAGGACCCCATAGTGACATTTAATGGTTTAATGGTTTTTTCATCATGCAAATGCTTATGAGAACGCATTGGCTTATCGCTCGATAAATTTCTTCTCTCGTCCGGGGCGATTAATAATATCGCCACGTCCGATTATCTCTCTCTCTCGTAATTCTTGCGATACGATCGTTTCTGGAATTCATATTAACGCGATGCGACGCGATGCAATATAATTAATTGCCATCTCATAATTGAAGAGCACAATGCTAAAGGGATAGGTGTACAGGACGCTTTTCACTTTGGTGTTTTGACCCCTGCGCCATTGATCTTACAACTACAATGCCTTGTAGAGGAACACCTATTATTAACGTTATCGAACATTCATCTGGGATCCGTTTCTGCGACGGTTCTTGCATAGTTAGTAATGATCTTGCTGTGTTTAACGGCCGATAGCCAATAACATATATTTCGTTTTAGAAATTCTTGATTTTTGCACTAAATTGTTTCGACAAGCACAATTTTATTCGGGCACGTAGAGAATTTTTATCCAAGATGTAAACATTCATGAAGCGAAAAAAGTATTATAGTAATCTTGCCTCGTTTATTGCTGTCACATATAAATTTTGGCATCAATATAAGTATATCCTAAATCGCGCAATGCAAGCTTACAGTGAATTATATGCTATTATAGTATATTATTTATAACAAAAATTTTCTGCCTATGGTTTTCGTTGTAGCGTCATTTTCCAGGACGTTTCATTTAATTCCGCAAGGTTTAAGATTAAACACGCAATACGTATTCGTCTCAGTCACGCTGAAAACGATTTTTCGCCCTGTCGCGCGCAGTGGGATTTCTAATTATTTTTCGGTATCACCGAAAGAACGGGAGCAATTGTGTGATGAGAGATGGTGAGAGGGTGCTTTTGAAAGAGGCCAGAGCCAAATCGAGGGACGGAATTGAGGAGGCGGTAATTTAAAATATGTGACGGTCCCGAGCCGGATTGCTCGGAGAAACACACAGAAGAAATTGCGAGAAATTTGGACCGAAGGCATACCTCGGAAATTGCCCCGGAAGGGCAACTGCTCCTAGTAATTGCTAGACCGTTGAGATTCCGTATACTCTCTTGTTGGAGTTAACGACGAACCTTTGTAATTTGCGGCAGTAAACGCGCCACGTGTGACGCGAAAATACTCCCAGAAATAGAGACTTACGATCCTACGCCATTGTGAAATTCCACGAGAGTTATAAATCCCTCTGTGACATTAATCACGAGCTTTTGCAACCTACACGTGTATTAAATTGTCATTGTCAATTATTATCATGAATACTTTAAACGATCAAAGTGACGCCAACGTGTTCCTCTTATAAATATAGAAACCTGTCTATGTTGAATACGCAGAAATGTATAACATAAAATACAAATGTGTATAATTAATAAAGTTCATTAGAGGAAGTTATTACGTATATTTCTGAGTTTATAAATTCTTATATTTCCATCACGTTGCTCTTTTCATATAGCAACGTCACGAGCGGATGTATCTTTTCGGAACAATCTACAAGTGAGTGTGTAGAGATATATCGAACCGAGTAGCAAACAGGGTTAACTTTATCGCGAAGTTCGTCCTCCGTAGGAGTGAGTTTCGAACAAAATCTCTTCAGAGTAGTACTTTGACTTTCCAGCGTACGTTCAATCGACTTCCTCAGTTTGTACCACCGTGGGATTCCTTGAGCTGTCCGCTCAGCGTGCGATAATGCGCATTTCATGTAGCAAGACGTAACGCGCCGACAAGGATCGTAACTTTAATATCGCGACTACAGAGCTTATTCGTGTTTGTGCAGTTTGTTGTTTCACCATGAAGAGAAACAGCGCCGACGATTTGAACATTGTACACCGCAAATCGAAGTGTGCAATGTTTACACACTTACGTGTGTAAAATTGTAATAGTCACCTTTTGTGCATTTTCAAGCATTTCGTTGCACTTTCTTACCCGTATTATTTTACCGTTCACATTTTACACGCTTTCGTATTAAATTACACGTTTAAAACGCGCAATTTACGTGTAAGAATCTTGCATTTCTTTATCCTCTTTCTTTTCTAACAAAAGATATGTATCATAAATTAACAACGAACATGTCAGATTTTACGGATAAAATAGATCTTTTTCAAATGTGTCCGACACTTGTAATTTTACACATACATATAAGTGTGTTATTACACAGTAGGATTCGCGATATAAAAGGCGATATCAATGCGGAACGTTCAACACTAGTTCAACGAGAATACTTTCATCAAGCAGGAGGCGTAGAACGTTGTTATATTGTACAAACTTTAAATCGTGCATAATTGGAACGTAAGAGAGCTTCGGAGTATTTTTGAATTTATTCCGCGGTTACTAAAGAGAAACAATAACAGCCGCAATGCTATTAAAGTTGGGCAACTTTTCCCACTAAACACTTTACCTGCGGGATTGCTCTCTCATGCTTACGAAGCATTGGAACTTGTAGCACTATTTTTCCATTAAAGGACTCTCCTACGCACGCCGCGGCTTCAACTTGGCCGGACTCTAAAGCCTTTGCGCATTTTTTCCCGACTTATTCTTCGTCCGAAGAATCACCGGAGATGAATATGTTGTCAAGCTGTGCAATTTGCGTTTTTCTGTATAATCACAAACATCTGAGACGACATTCTTACATCGCGCGAGCGTGTGTGTGTGTGTGTGTGTGTACATATGTGTTACGAACGAATAAGCCGATTATTAATAAAGCTTACCGAGCGAATATCCGGTTACAAAAGTTTCTCTCGTAGCTGGTACAGAAAATATATTTTATTTGTAATTCAGCGATAAGGAAAATCATTTATATCATTCGTGTAAAATTTCATTCTGTAATTCTACGCTATTAACGTCAAAGAGACGCGAATAAAAAGTTCCTTCGAAAATTCCCCAGGTGGAAAACTCTTTGTCGACGTACGAGCCACACGCTTGCATCGTGGTTTACTCGATCGTTTCGCGCACGAGCTTCCAAGTGGCCGAGGAGATACTAAACTACTTGTGGCGAGAACATTACACCCAGGAACGATCGGTCATCGTCGTCGCCAACAAGTCTGATCTCGCCAGAAGCCGGATAATTTCGGCAAATGGTGAGAAAATATCATAAATAATTGCATGCATGATACGTGATATATTTCTATTATTTCTCTGTGTATGTGCGTGTGTGTGTGTGTGTGTGTATGTGTCAGTGTCATTTTATTCTATTCTTTTGCTTGATCTTTTTGCTACCATTTGTCTACAGTCCTAAAAGTAAACACGAAATTAAATTAACGTTAAATAAACACGAAAAGTTTAACTTCTAGTAATAAATAATTCCGCGCGCGTTTCGTGGATGGAATATTTTCAAAGTTATTTATAACATAAAAACAATCGTATTCTCTAAATTTTTTCAAGCGAAATTCTTCTCGAAAAGTACAACGACGGACGATTTATTCGAAGCCTAGAAGACTTTTCACTCATACAGAGTGAATTCTTACCATTAAATTGCCGAGTAAATATTTCCATTCGAAATTGAAGAATAAATTTGATGCACTTAACCGTCACTGGAACAAATTCTCTCTCGGTCGAAACATTTGTTTCGATAGATTATAAGTCCATTTTATGTTTCAGTTAAACATCCATTCTTGTAATTCCGGGGGCAGTATTTTCATTATCGCTTCGAATAAATTTTTATTTCTTTTCATGACATTTTATCCCCAGAAATTTAGAGAGTACCAGTCGGCGTCGTATAAGCTGTACCATTTCTTAGACGGAGAACTACACGATTTTGAGAGCTTTCTCTCTCTCTCTCTCTCTTTCTCTCTCTTCTTCTCTCTCCCCCCGCCTTTCTTTCTTTCACGCGTGCCTTTGCAGCGGCAACCTGACATACATGCTCTGTGTATAAATGACACGTGAAAGCCTCAGTATCGAGCAATAATAAAAAGTTTCACTCTGAGGAATAGTACAACGTACATGATGCCGACGACTGTACACGTGTAACAGACATTACTTTTTTTTTCATATTTGCCGTAAAATGAAACGTCATTACATTTATTCGTTGAATTTTAGATTGTATGCAAATATTTCGCGGCCGGCTGAATAGAATAAAGCAGTTCTCTTAATTAGCACTTCGGCGCGTGCTGCCAATTAATATCGAGTTTCGACCTGTGCGCTTGTTAAAGAGGGCAAGCATTTGGCGACGTCGCACGAGTGTAAGTTCATCGAGACGTCCAGCGGGATTCAGCACAACGTGGACGAACTTCTGGTGGGGATTCTCAAGCAGATCCGGCTGAGGGAGACGCGCGACAAGAAGCTTCTGCGCCAGGGCAGCAAGGGCAAGCTGCTGTCGAAGCTGCACAACAGCAAAACCGTGCTGAGTCTGAACCTGGCTCGAGAAATCCTCAATAAGATGTGTTTGAACGACAGCAAGAGTAAAAGCTGCGAAAACCTGCATGTGCTGTAAAAGGAGGATCGCGACAGGCAAGTCTCGTTTTACGCTCGTCGGTCGTTTCTCCGACGCGAGCCATCGGAAATCAATGGCTGGTGGATCGAGATCGGGAAAGGTAAACGGCACCTCGTTACGGGCCGCATGACATTTCCATGCTTCATCATCCGGCGCGATTGCTGCCGTGGTGGCCGCGATATTACGCGGCCGAGACCTTTCCAGGTCGTAACGACTTTACGAGCCCTGGGACTGATTACGCGTCCCGTCGCCTCGATAAGAAGCCGTTGTTACTACCCACGCGTTCCATGTTCCACGCGTTTTCCTCGCGGACCTTTGTTTTCCCGCAGCTGTCGCGTTATCCGATGCATCTTCATCGCGTAACGGAGCGACGATTCGGCACGGAAGTTCGAAGGGCAAGCGAATCCCCGCTGCGAGTGCTGTTCGAGATGCCCTTCTCGGCTTCGCGAATTATGAGACTCGCGGAGACGCGAGTGAGCGAAGTATGTCTCTTCTTCATTCCTCGTAACGTTGATTGTAAAGAAGATTGAGCCTGGCTGAATTTCGGGGTGAACTGTGGAACTGTCGATCAAGGAGTGTCGTGTCTTTTGGTGGAACGATTTCCTTCGACTGTCAACATCTTTAAAAGAGGAGAGAGAGAGAGAGAGAGAGAGGGAAATGCTCTCGCTTTACAATGAAGATTATCGCGCGATTGTGTTATTTTTATTCTTGTGGGCACACACAAGCCGGAGAAAATTAGTATCAATTCAAGACTCATATTCTCATATACATACACGCAGGGATATATAATCTTACATATGAATTTTATTTGTATATAATTTATTTATGTATAATTTTATTTAATTAATTTTAAATAAAATTTGCTTACATGAATAAATTTTGTATATTCTCTTTCCATATATAATATATGTATTCTATATATATTTTTGCTAAAAATACATTCTTACCATTCAAGAATAATTTTCATGAATTGAGAGTAGAAAATATCGGATAGAAAGAAATATATATCTTTAAACTAAGAATTTTATCAGTTTGAAGATCCCCCTTCCTATCCAATATTTTTTCCTCTCAGTTCATAACAATTATCCTTGAGTAACAAGAATATGATATTTTTAGTAGAGTTATGTAAGATTTCTTTGTGTAAGCAAGTTTCATCTTCATATAAGACTACGTTATCTTGCTTATACATGAGATAATTGGAGTTTTGAATTCATATCCAATCAATTTTTTTCTCTTATACGGTCACAGGACGATTGCAGCAGATTTCTTTTACTTGTTTGGGAACACACAAAAAATACGGAAGAAGCGAGCCTATGATTCACGAATATGCGCGATAGATGGTCGGACAGCTGTCAAAATTACACGACTGTGCATCGTCGTATTACTCGTGCGTTCTAAATTATGTAAGAAAAAAAAACAAACTGTTGCAACTGTCCCGTGACCTATTGTAGGGCGAGAACTTTCTTTCTGACATCTAACGTTGCTTCCCGACAAAGCCGCGGTCCCACAGGCGGATTTAGTAAATTATAAGTTAAAGTCCCTGAGTCTCAAAGTCCCTGAGCTCAAAAAGAAAAGTGGCCGATAAACGTGTCCCCCGGGAGAGCGTGTCGCGACCTGAGAAAAAGGCCGCAGGTGAGCACGGCTGATTAAAGGATTAAAAGGGTTCCGACGGTTCAACCCTTTGTCCGCGTATCTTAGTCGGCTCCTCTTCCCGCACGTGCCCGCACACAATCTGAGAGGCCGAGAGGCGGGTAAGAGAGTGGGTCACGAGGTGGATAGCTGATCTGCGCTATCGTAATTACGGCCAAGACCCGTGCCGAGTGTACGTGTGCGTATGCACGCGTGTCTGAGCACGTGTGCCTGCGAAGTTGAAATTAGAATTTAAGGCAACCAATCGTCAGAAGTGGATCGTCTGCTCGGGCGCGAGACGAGCGGCGGTAAATCCGGCGCGTCGTCTGTCTGCAATGCAGCGATTTGATTATTTATTAGAGCCTAATGAGTGGAGCACGTGCGCCCGGTCCCACGACAATTACTCCACGACGGTGCTTATTTACCGTCTGCGGTGCTCCGGTAATTGCGTATCGCGAATGAAGCCGGCTTCGGCCGACGCGATTTCGTCCGAGCGGAGACGCAGAATTTCTCGGCCACGTTACGAAGACCGAGATCGGGGAAAAACGCTCGGAAAAGCTGGTCTATTCTACCGAAGTGGGAAGTGGCTAATTGACTGAGTGTTGATTAACGACTGAATCTTGGAATCCATTAATCGTTCCAGTGGTCGTTCGAGCAACTCGATGCTGCTGCGAAAATATGCCAGTAAACACGCGTCGGGATGCTATACTCGCTATACTCGCGTACAATTATTGTCGTGCGGCAGGTTTGTATTACATTAATTAATGATAGGTAATATACGCGCCTATATCCGTGTGATCGTCGTAAAAGATCCGCCAAGTCGCGCGGCGCACATCGAATTCACGCTCGGTGGCAATTCGCTACTTCGCAAACGTGAATGTATGCGTGAATTATGCGTGAAATCGATATATAATACGCGCGACTGATGCACCGACCGATATTGTGGGTGTTGCGTTATTTTCCACGAAGTGGATCTGTGTGCGCCGTCGTCGTCGAATATCTTGGATCGCGACGATAAAAATGTGTGAGGACTGGCGGGAGGCGGGATTCTCGTGTTTGAACAATAGTGATCGATCTTTCCGCGAAGACCGTGTCGTCAATGCCGGCAGGTAAATCCAAGCGTCGAGTGTTTAATACCCGAAGATACGGTTATTCACTGTTACCTGTGCGCGAGTGTCTGCCGGCCTGGTTGACGCGAGTTACCTCTGAGAATTACGATTAGGGTACGGAAATTGCCGTCGAAGTGGGGAGGGGGAAGGGGGGAACTTCACGAACTTCGGCGGCTTGATCACGGCGTTTGACCGAATGCCCACGGTCGTCGTATCGGCGTATTTAGTAAGAATGAAAACGTGTGTGTAAAACAGAAGTTAAAAATAGGACGTTAACTTCAAATTATATATATATATATATATATATATAAAATGTATCATCTTTATTTAATTGCGAATATCTCAGCCTCCTGATCAATCGTTTTCTAATTGTATCAATAATCAGGTTATATTTTGAAATCGGCCTATGATTCAAGTTTCAAACGGATTCTTAAAAACTCATTTTATGCTGCAACTACCTTAAGGTTATTATGTCGGTCTGTGTAGAGACTGACGAATAATTCGAGATATATATATATATATATATATATATCATTAGATTTATTGTTATCTATCAAATAATGACGGACTAGGAGAGCTGACTTATGTCACGTTAATTGAGTCACATAGATCCAGATGCGCTCTTTGCGATATATTATTCCGGACCACCGAACGCAGGATACGAGACGAGGTCCGAGATCGAGACGCTGGTCGTCTCTTTTTATTTTATAAAGCCTATGGATTGATAATAATAAACTGTCAATTTCGACTACCCGAGTATCCGAATCTTTCGGCAACTGAGTAATTTTACGATTAATTTTACGACGTTACGAATTATTGATTTTTCTATCGATGATTCACCTGATAATAATTACGTCGGAAATTAGCCGTATTCTCAGCTACTGGGAGACTTGGGAACTCAGAGACAGCTGAAATTAACAATATTAATTGATAATACACGTGTCATGCCGTAGAACACGATATAACAGTCGTCGATAGTATTTAGTAGAAGAATGTTGAAGGTTACGTTTAACATTCTCGCTGTATTACCTTCTAATTTGCCGCAATTATCTAAATTTTCATTTCCCTGCCTGTACCTGAGCACAGGAATTAATATGCATAGTGCAGCCACGGCTGTGACCTAGATAAGTATGACTAACTGAAATGAGTTAGTTAACTAAAGTTGGAACATTGCTCGTGCAACATATCTATGATGTGCCACCTGTGTTTCATCATTGCGCTAACGTTGGTTGCCACTGATCACAATTAAGCCTTTTCCTTTAATTGGACCGGTATGAGCCAAGAGGCATATATGTTCACGCGTAAGTTGAATTTATTATTATTATTTTGTACTGTACAACGCGCGAAAGTTGATTGTATTTGTGGAAATACCGAGTCAATTCCGACGGAGATACTCCTCGGCCCAATTGTAATCAAGAACTGACGGCGTGGAGCAGACGTGTACAGTTAAACGTCACTTAAACTATACTCATATTTATTCATTTAGATATGCCTAACGATAAGCTGTTCCTTTCTAGTAATTTTAATCGCGATGAGCCTTCGATCATGGTGGAGTTAAAATAGATTTCGATATGAATAATTTAGGAAACTTTTTGGGAAAGACATAAGTTATTAAATATATCCTTTTAATTCCTTCTTAACTTAACGCATGACTTTTCTCATTCGTTATAAAGGCGAGTTGAAGACAAATTACTTGAAATCGATTAGATGTCCATTAATTATACAACTTTTCTTACGATATTTTCGAATATAAAGAAGAGCATGTATCATTTGGAATCTTGACAAACGTATCAAGTGAAAATGTATTTTAGTCACATATCCTTGAAATTTCATCTTTCTTTGCTTCACCTTTAATCATTTAACAATAAAATATTATTTCGAGATGAGAAATTTCCAATCTTTACTGCATATTGTCTGCATTTCACATACCGTGTCATTAATATTCATCTCTATTATCTTTCACTTTATCTTCTTTATTCACAAATCTTTTTTTTTTCTCAATACATATATTTTTTTTTCCCGTACGCTTAATATATATTGCCTATGATTTTTGTTTTACATATTGTGTTTTTTTGTTTAACAACTATTTACTTTTTTATTTACTTGTATGGTGTTCTGATAGGATGTTATCGTAGAATATAATAAACTACTATTTTATTCTATTCCATGTTTTCCATTCTATTCTACTCACAGATAAGAAAGGAAACGTATTGTAACGTGAGACGAGGGAGAGGATGATAAATTACCATTACCGTTAGAATTCTGAAAAATTCGGTTCTACTACCGCCAACGTAAGAATAATGCAATGTTTAAAATATCCCTTTACCTCTGGCTCGAAAGTCGGAAGAATATGGCCAACGCCTCTATCTTTCCGGCACGTTCCACTCCAAATATTTCACCATTACGGTGAAATCCACTGCTATAAAGCTGCATTCCCAAACTGCAAATTCCAATTTCAAACAAATATATATTTCTTTGGCACCGTTGTGCAACAGGTATATTCTTTTCTTTAATTGCTCGCCAGTCAAGTAGTAAATGCTTTTCTCGCGCATATTAAAGCGACGTGTAACATATATTTTTATAAAAGATATTTCTTGAATACGAGTCTGCATATAATACGTACAGTGATAGAACGAGGGCGCTTTTGGAATTAATTCTTCGTCCGTAATCGAAAAGAATTGCAAAATTTATCTGAAATATTTTCTCCATACGCGCGAATACATATTTCACTTAAGTTACGAATTTGCGGATTCGGAATCTTTCCTCGTCCTCGACGTCAATGTCGACCTGTTGATGCTGCAGCACCGATTCTTATCCTCGTTTCGAGACGTGGACGAAAACGCCTTGACGCCTCATTTCTATCGTTCGCTACGCTTGTTGACGGAAAACAATGCGTTCAAGTAGACGCGGCCTAAAGAGACGTATGAAGACGTGCGGAGACCGAGGCGTTTCCGACGAGGACATACCTAAATATACGTATATGGACGCCGCGATTATTACCGGCGCAAACATTACTTCGAGATAAGCGCGTGCGGTATCTACCGCGTCCCGATAATGCGGCGCGTATTGAAGAGTCATACAGTATAACGATGTACACATATCGGTCTATATATGCATACATATATACATATATACATATATATATGTGGGTATTCCTATCGAGAGCCCTTTCCCACATTCCGGAGACACGTCTGGGGATAGTTACAGTCTGATATATGTGCAGGTGTTGTGACGAAATGGAGATTCATGGCTTCAGCTCCGGATTTCGATGTTCTACTATCTGTCGCGTACGCCTTTCTTTTTCTGGGGATCATCGTGGTCCTCTGGGTCCTCTGCGCGTGTCGCGCATTCGTACGGACGTCTGCACGAAGGGTCGGGTGGTAGTAATTGATTCGCAAAAGTAATGCATCCTGAGAGTCACCCGAGGATGAAATTTGCGCGAAATAAGATTAGCAGGAGAGACGTTCACCAGATGAGCGACATAATGGGGAATGTAACTTAATAGCTTTACGTTTTTCCCTATATGAACGGCAGAAGTTATTTCAATCGGGAGTGATTTTCCGAAGAATTTTAAGGTTGCTAAAATTCCCTACGTTTTCACGTTTAACGTTCCGCTTTTTCCTTAGTTTCTTGCGAGATTGGAAGAACCTTCGAAGAATAAATTCCTCAATTATTACGATATTACGTAAAGCTTCTCGATTCAGTCGGTATTTTCGTTCTCGATTTGGCTATCACGCGGCAGTTTTCGAGAGTGGATTAACCCTGCAAACGGGGAACTATCTGTATGCGGTGCATTTTGCGAGTACCGTGTGCGTTGAGAGACGGAAACTCGGTTGCAGCGATTTATACTCTGGCGCAGAAGCGGAAGTCAGTTTCCAATATCCGGTTGAATTCGATGCCATACTCGAGGGCAATTCTGCAAAATATATCAATCTCCTTCGAAGAGCCATGCGAGTGTAATGGACTAATATATATTATATATTTAGTCCATTACACTATATTATAACTAATATATATTATATAATATATAATATGTATTAGTTATAATATATCATATATAATATAATAATATAAGTCGGTAATATCAAAACACGTATCATTCGTCACTTCACGAAACTACAAACGTAAACGTACCTCAGCGTTACGGATATCTCCCCAAATCTGGTCTATTTTTATAAATATATAATATGTATATGCTCGTTCTTTACCTGTATAATGATCTGTCATCTACGGCGTGGATTTTTATTGTATAAGAACATTTCTGTGTCTATGTGCACGGGGGAAACGTTTTTTGTAATACATCGACGATTACAAAATACTTCTATTTGTGAACTTCTGTAACACGCTCGATATACGACTGTGTAATTTGCATGAATGTATAATTTGTATATTTGTCAAAATTAATATCGAACACAGGATTAAAGTCAAAACCGCGATATCACATAATATAGGATGTCCCAGAATAATCACACGTAGAATGCACTAGGGGGTTCTTAGTACCAAACGAAGCGATTTTTATTTACCAAAATTCCGTTCGAATAATAATTTTAAAATGAGCTATTTAAGGTTGTCGAATTAGTGTACCACTCAGCATGCGGTTATTCTGGAACATCTTACGTAAACATTGTGAGTATGTATTAATGATCGCAGATAAACGGCCAATTTTGGCAGGTGAAATTGAAAAGCTGCGACGGTCAGAAGACATGAGAGCTTTGGTAGATTGGTCGTCTGTTTATCTGCGATCTAAGTAAATCTTTGTAACGTTTATGCTGTAAAATATTTCATATCGAAGAAAATATTATATTTATGTTTCGTTAAGAAAGCGTATAATTATTTAATTGCATTCTGGTGCTCGTTAAAATTTATTTAATGGGGGAAAGCAACAGCGAGAAAGAGAGAGAGAGAGAGAGAGAGAGGGAAATAATTTTTAATTATACACATAAATAATAATAATGAACACATATATATCGCACATTTTCGTTTGTACATTACAGTTTATTATATCTTCTCGTAGCAATTATTTATAATTATTTTGTTATACTAATATATAAAATTTATATGAAATGCCTCAACCTTGTACTTTAATTAATGTTTATTTTTCTATTAATAAACCCCTGCGCATCTTTACGACAATCAAATTATTTTTTTATCGTTCGTGCTACGCTATGTATCTGTAATCGAATCTAAATGTTTATGTCAAAATAAAAGCAATTCCGCGAGATAATGCAGTATTACTTTTTTTAAAGCATAAAATCTTATTCTGTCCCCTAAAAGTATCGCACATAATTACATCGATATCATATCGCATCCTGAAAAGTTGGTTTGTATATATTTAAGCTCTCTTCTTTTTCACGAGATATCAAAATACAAGCGTAAATTATATTACTGTAAATTTATATTTATGTATTGAATGTCGATAGCCGCGAAGGAATTTGTACTAGAGGAAGAAGAATTATTTTTATATACTTTATATAGATACACGTATATGCATATACATGTAAACATATTGTGTAAAGAATAGTCACCTTTTTCAACGATCCAGCATCTTGTAGCATTTCGAGAAAAAAAGAGTTATTAGCGTTATCACGTGAAATATGTTTTTATCTTGAAATAATTTTATTTTAATTCACATGTGCAAGAATATCGTGCAATGATACTGCCTCCTTGCTATATTGATCCACGGTTGAGATACTGCCTGGTAACGGCTTCGACAGAGTCGATAAAACAGGACAGTTTCTGTCAAAATGGCTGAGCATTTGTGCACGGTTTGCTCCGTTCAGTGAAGGAAATTATTTACACCTGTATATTAAACGTTCGTAATTTGTGACCAGCGAGCGGCGACATTCTCTTAAAAAAATGCTGATGCCTAGTAAACGCAGCTTGTCTAAGGAGGACATCAGAGCCGCAGACAAAGATGAGAAAGTGAGTAGCTCTTGACCTGCCGTGTCGGCATGTACAAAGAATGCGCAACACCGTGAAGATGACGTCATGCTCGGCGGGAAACCTGATGTATACTTTGAATTTCGCAGGAGACGCTGTTGGAACATGACAGCGATCCCGACGAGGACATGTTGTTCAGGTAAGATAAAACATCTAATTCGTCGTCATTTATTCACTCGAAGTTTTCCAAAATATTCTGGAAGCATCAATTTCTAGAGAAAATAAACGAGAAATTCTTGTTCATTAAGATGCTTTAGTTGTCAGATAAGAAGCACAGGATAATTATTACGCTAATATTATGTGCAAACTGTCAATTTTGTTACATTTTAATATCAATTTTGTTTATTATTATACTATTATACTATTATATTTATTATTATACTATTATGCTATTATACTATTATGCTATTATACGTTTGGTTTTAATAAAAAAAAGCGCAAACTTTTCAGATATGATATCTGAAAAATTCACGACACATTCTCCCGAAAGACACTTCAATTGATTCGGATGTGTTGATGCGTTATTTTCAATTGCAGTCGGCCGAGTACTTCAAACGGGGATGAAAAGGTTGACAAGAAAATGGATTGGTAAGTGACGTTTTGTTTCATATTTCTAATTTCGAGTCAACGGTGTTGTAGGAGAGATGTATTTTGGTTTCCGAACAACACGTATGTCTAATAGTCACTTCAAAGATATCCTTTAGACGTCTTATTGTCTAAAAGATGTCTTTACGTATTAAAACATTTTAATGTTATTTGGGAAAATATTGCTCTGAATAAAATAAAATGATTTATTTACGAAATCGTCATTATTTTTAAACGCGTGTACGTACGTGTGCTTTTAATTGCATTTATGTCTTATAGAACTATGTACGTGTACATTATTATTATTTATCATTGTATGTATTGATTTTCTTAACTAAATAATTGCTGGACAGCAATAATTATGATATGCGTAGTTATTGCGCATATGATTATTGAATATCTGTGTTTTTCAAGTGTCAGGCTGCAAATTCAAGAGGTGACGGACGTGATGAGAGACAATGTTCAAAAGGTGATCGATCGTGGCGATAGACTGGAGGATCTACAAGAAGCGAGTGATCGTTTGAACCTGGCTGGGAACGAATTCAGGGAAGCCGCGAGACGGGCGCAACGAAAAGCCTGGTTGCAAAACGTGAAATCAAGGATCATCATCGTCAGCGTCACCGTGACGATCGTGCTTTTCATCATCGGTAGGGAATGATTACGCGTGACGTCGAAATAACTGATAACAGCACGATAACAGCATGACGTCTCACCACGATACGAAATCTCACGTCTCATCTCTCTCTCTTTTTATATTTCTTTTTTTCAAGTATGAGCGCGATTCTGTGACTCCCATTTCTCACAAGATGTTCCTTCACACGTGTGCTCCTTCGTGCTCGGTTTCCTTTTTTGTTTCGCGTCGTTTATGAGCAAGAACGTAATATTTCGCGTCGTTAATGGACTGATATGAATAATATTGACTGTGCTTGGAGGTGGGAGAATATATATGTACACGTGGAAGTCTTCGCGAGAGGATACCCAAGCAGCACAAATGTCCAAAGTCGGAACATGAGACGTGTCTTAGACGTCTTGAAGTCGTGTTTAAGATGTGATATAAGATGTCATTAAGATTTTTAAGGTGTCTAAAAGATGTCTTATGTCCCGATTTTGAACATTGTACTGTCTGGGTTGTAAATTAAGGCTCGGTTATCCCTCGGCAGTAATTACTAGTTAGCATAATTACTAGCATAATTACTAGTTTTCTGGTTTTCTAGTTTTCCCTGAAAAACATAGTAGTTTCGTAATCCTGAAGCCTGTAAAATATGCGGCAAACTGAGATATCTGTCCGTTTCGTTTCGATAGGATCGCAGAGTGGTTATAAATCATAGGTTATTTTTCAGGCCGTGACAGCCGAGGCATTACATTCTTCAGTGGCAACTAAAAATAATCCCTCAAAAATCTTATTGCACATTCATTTCTCGTTTATTAAATTGATATGGATACTCAAGGAAACCGAGTTTTAAAAATGATTGATAGGTCATTCTGAGAAGCTGAAGAACCAGGAATTCGGCTCCACGGTGTGAATTCCGATCGGTCCTTTTTGATTTCGCCGTCTCTCGTCCGAAGACTCCTATTTTTGAGGGTGTTACACTTCTATTCGTCCACTTCCCACGATTAAATCGAATGAGTTTTTGGGGTGCTATCTAGTTAGATTAGCGCGTGTCATTTTCAGTTCTGGACATCATGGTGCTCTACTTGGTTCTCAGATAGCGAGCCCGATGTCTGGAGTCGTGATCATTGAGATAGAGAGAAGGTATATAACATTCCCCTTGGCCGCATAATAACGATTTCAGGAGCGACAAGAAACATGCACCTGAAAAACATCAGAGCTTTTCACCGTACGACATTTTACTCGCAATCCCATTTTGCGCGCTCTCTCACTTTTTACCTCCGCTCATTCCTTTACATTGCACTTTCATCACGTAATTCTGCTGTTAAAGTGTTTTCTTCGCAGAATAAATCGTCTTTTTCTTTCCAGCGTCTATTGTCATGAAGTACACATGAACAAGAAGTCTGACTGAGGGACCGTAATCTATTGTCTACATCTTGTACATTTATAACTCCTTCCGGACCTATTACACGTATTATATATAGTTATAAGTCTGTATAAATATATCTTCTATTATTTTTGTTTAAATCTCATTGTTCCTTGCGTATCGCAACCGCGGAAACTCTCGTACTTTCCATTCGTTACACGAGAGATATTTTTAAGAGGTTCAGAAACTACTCTAGATCAACTGCTATCTTATCATCACTTATTAAATTAGATTATACATACATACTTATATAATATAATATAATCGGTGATGATGTTGATGGTAGTGACGATTATTATTTATATGTCACTCGGCCGATCAGCGGGCTTATTCATCGAGAAACGAATGTGTAATCGATGCGTGGTCACGTAAATTATACTATGCTTCGACAGATCGATATCGACATTGTTACTTTTTAGTGAATATTCCATTCGAACATAAACAGATCTTCCAACTTCGGAAATATACGTAACATTTGTATGTTAACACTAGCATGCATCGGTCGGACACAAACTAACTAATTAGGATAATTACGAGAGATTTGACATGCCACTTGGAATCTTTGTGGAACACGATACTATTTATCGTAAACTTAATGACGTGGCACTTTGTCGCACGTGCTTCTTACTCGCGTTCTTTCGGTCGAAGCGAAATGTAGAAATGTTTAAAATCAATACAGATTTCGAATGTAAATTTATGCTGTTACGTATGAATCATCGTTTATCATGTAACGCATTCTCGCGTTTTCGCGAAGTATATCGCGAAGTATATCGAAATCTTTTGTTTTAAGGCTCGACTCTCTCGAGTTTCACTTTTATGACATCATAGGCGAGAAATGACAAGCAGCAAGCTTTTTTTTGCGGCGTATAATTTTATTTTTCAATTTTTCTCTGAAAAAAAATAGTTTTGTAATCCTGAAATCTATAATATATGCGGCGCATTGAGATATCTGTCCAATATATTACGTGAAATCTCAAAATAATTTTCGAGAGATATATATATATTAAATATATTCTCACGAATATAAATATTAAATATATTCTCACTTTCAAGAACATCTGAAAGAAGCATCAGGAAAGATTAATATCTGTCATGTATTCATCAGGCACAAAAGTCTCTAAAGACTTCGCAATATAAATCACTTTTAAGGTAGTCGGTCCATAAAATTATTTTCTTAGGAATCCTTTTAAATTAATTTAATAAATTTTAACCGCATATTGACGAAGATATCACACGTTTGTAAGGTTAGAATACGGCTTATCGCGATCGTGCGAGACGAATCATGAACTCATTCAAGGTAACTAGTTCGATCAACGTTAACCCAATCGTGTCTACGCCAGTGATTCGCCAGTTCCTTCTGCGCCGTCGCATCAGCACGTGTTCAAAGACACGTGTGCGGACTGCAATGAGCGACGTTTAATTAATATTTCTCACAGACCGCTAAGTACAGAATACGATTGACTATATTTAGAAGCTAATATATTTACTAAGATAACATTTCTTATACATATTCCTTGAGGTTAATATCCTATTTTTAACTTCCATTTTAATGTCTTCTAAACCACGTTTAGGAGTTTAAGACGAAAAACCACTGTGATATTAGCGACTAATATAGAGAAATTGTACAAAAGAAATTTTCGGAATTACTCACCGTTTTGTTTTGAAAATGAAGGCGTAGGGAATTTACAATTTATAGTAATATCCGTGGTATACATCTATATATGTATATATATTTCAATGATACCTCTTCATACGTATATGTATAACATCTACATATGTATGTATATGTATATATATATGTCTACATATGTATGCATATATAAATGATATACCTCTTATTACGTGTACCTCTAATAAATTTAATTGACGTGAATAAAAACGTATGAATAAACTGACGTATCAATGTGAACAATAAAGAATATAAACATAAATATCTCCGTGTTTATCATATCGTGTGCACACGCAAAAACATACACACGTGTTCGTTTTAATTTCGTCCAAAATTCATATTTAGTACTTGGATAATTAAGTAAAATTATAGAAAAGTATTTTTTGTTCATTAAATAACAAACTTATGAAGGGTCTCCTTAATATCACTGAAAATCCACTGGTACCACGGATACCAATTATCTTGACCGAGGTTCCGACAAATATACGTTCTCTGTATAAAAGATATCCACCGAGTTTTTTCGATCAAACGAACGAGGCTTGCGGATGTGACGCGCGTGAAAAATCTCAAGCTATTACGGGCGCGATGAAGAAAGATGGATATAAAAATACTTTATCGGTCAGTGGGATCCATTAATAGCTCGCAATTTCACAATGAAAAGCGATCATGTTGTAAAGCGACATTATACATGACTAGCCTCATATAGTATGGTGACCTACAAATTGCCGCGAGCGTGCGAGACGAATCATGTGGACTCGTCCAAAGTAGCCGGTTCGACCAACATCAATGCTATCCGCGCCAATGAATCGCGATGACGTTCTTTCTGCGCGGCCACATCAGCATATGTTCAAACACATACATGTAGATTATAATGAGCGACCTTTAACCAGTCCTTTTATTTTTCTTATGATCCACTGAGATCGAGGTTTGTAAGCAACGTTTGCAAGAAATCCAAATACTTCGTATTTGATCTCTGTATCCTATTTTCCATTAAAATAACTCTTCCAATGACTGATAAATATCTCCTACAGTGTTTCAGTTTCATTATGTATCACCTAGGGCCATCATTATCTGACTTTAATGTTAATTAGATGATTATAAGCGAACTGCCTATTGTTAGCGTACAAAATTCTATATGAAATTTGCACGACTATAAGGCTCAAATTAAAAGCGCACTTTCGTACCATGTTCAATATAGTTTTATGGAAATTGCATTTGCAGCTTTTGTTATATAAACCGAAATATTACACTAACCCAACAAGCACAGAATATAACTGCTATATAATATAACTAGACGTTATATGTCCACTTCACATAATGTTCTTGGCATATTAAAAGAATATATTAAAATAATATATTACTAAAATAGTAATAACATAGAAAATATATATAAACAAAATATACATATACACATATATACATTATATATATATATATATATTGACGAAGATATCACACGTTTGTAAGGTTAGAATACGGCTTATCGCGATATATATATATATATACATACATAGAGTTAAATATCTAAAAAATATATAATATTACAGTAACATTAAATATTATTAGAGATGGACGAATCTATTAATATTCCAGTAATATTATTTAATATCCGACAATATTACGCGCTTATAGGGACAGTACAATAAATAAAAAGAAATAAACTCTTTATTCCGCGCGGTTCACCGTCTTTTTTCCTCGGAAGAGACCCTCGGCGGGAATGCGCATGTCTCTGATGCGTAGTGCGCAAGGCTGATGTGCCGGGTAGCGTGCTCTATCGCTTGTTCCTCGATTCCGGAGTGTCTTCACGGGCTGGTTACGCCAGTGTGGCTACCGATGACTACTCACGTTTCGCTGGTCTGTTTGTGTGGTGGACGTGGGCCGGTAGGGAGAGAGGTACATGTTGAAGCCGTGCTTGTATTCTCGTTTCAGTCGCGCGACAGCGTCCGCATGTGCACTTGGCAGTTCTCAGGCTTGACAGTCGGCTCTCGCGGTGTTATCACGGCCGGCGACGTTTCCAACCTGACGTTGCATTGAGAAAGAGAGAGAGAGGGAGAGAGGGAGAGAAAGAGACAGAAAGAGAAAGGGAGAGAGAAGACCGGCCACTAGCTGGCTGGTTGGTTAGCTGACTGGCGCCATTTCTGGCTCTACCACGGGCGCGGGCTGTTAATTAATCCCGAGACATAGAAAACGAGAGGACGCGCTACGGGAATTAATTAACAATGATGGAGCTCCATCAGGTCGTCATCACCGCGCTGAGCTTGCTGCTCGGCGGCTTTCTCCTCACCGGAAGTCGGCGGCGCTTCCTTTACATGCTCTACAAAACGTTGCCCAGAGATGTTCTGTGAGTACGAATGAGTGCGAACTGAGAGAATGTAAGCGGGAGGGGATGAGAATAGGGATGTTAGGAGTGTGGGACAGGTAGCCGCACGGTTGTTCGCGAAATCGGCTCGGCCGGCTAAACTAGTACCGCTAACAGGAGCAGGAAATGCGAGGATGCGTTGAGCTCGTGACCGCCGAGAGAGTACCGTTATTTCCCCGTCCACCTTATCTCTCGCGGACTTTGTCCGCGAAATTTAATTCAAGACGCGGGCAACCGATGACGATCGCTTTAGTTTCACGCCCCGGCGCTCTGGTTGATCCAAAACGCCGACGTTTGTTAGGCGGACGTTCCCGATATCTAATGGGCGAAGTTGTGCGAACGAACGGCCACGAATTCATTCAATTCGTTCGTATTTCAAACGTTCGATTAGACATACACCGGTCGGTAATAATATTTGCGAATTATTTCGTTCGGACAAAGCGAGGGAGAAATGTCGATGCGGACGTCGCTCGGAATATTTCGCGAAATACTACCGGCTTTAAACGGCTCCCGTGTAGAAACGGCTTCCGTGCTTCATGTTATGTTATGGATTAACAATTTGCGTTCAGTGCCCGGGATGCATGATTGCCCGTCGCATTCGCTTCAATGCTTCGTTTGACGTTGGAATGCGACGCGCATGATGGGGAGCGCGCGAGGATTCTTCGTGGTACCTTCTTTTATTCTTATCGTCGTATATTATACTTTTCTATCGTGATAGACATTTTGTTCTTAATTCGTAACTTTTAGTCGTAATTTCCTTGACCGTCGATCAAATTATTAATAGTTTGTTTGGAGTTTCTTCGACAAATTATGTATATAATCTCGCATGCTTTTCTTTTCCTCTTTACGTACGGGTATTTTTTTATTTTCCTTCGGTACAATTTTATATGCGAGACGAAACGTTTATTATTCAGACTTGTGATATTTTAAATTCTCTTAAGATTTCTGCCTCCTCGTTGTTATCATCTTAATACAAACACTTGATGCGTCGACCGATAACGTCAGAAACGAGGAAATATATCCTCATAATTCTTGCGAAACACGTTAAAATTAAAAGTATGACCACAGAGTGACACTTGCAACCAATTGAGCAAATTTGTAAAATGATCGCAAACCTTTCCCCGAATCTATCTTCTTATTTCAACGTATTTTGCAAGAATTTTGAGCGTTATTATATTTTCTCGTTTCTGATGTTCTCAGTTAAAGGGACGGCAACGGAAAAAACCAGAAGACTTAAACATGGAAACTAACCATTAAATATAATTAACTTTAAATAGGACAACTATCATTTCTGATTGTCGTTATCTAAGTTGAATAAGCCATGCTGTTTTTAAAACCAATAGAGGAATGATACAGTTATAATTCTGATAAAGAGGGTAATGTCCAAATGATAAGTTTTGCGGCCAGTCGTGCTCAAAGTTAGAATTACTCACGAGTGCTCAATATATTCAATGTTACGATTGATTGGAGGAACTTATTTATGTTTATCTTTATACAGAGTGTTCAAGAAAACATTTTTGTATGTTAACATCGTGATTGACTTACTGGCTCTTACGTGTCGCGCGACGTGAGAAAAAGATAATCCGTTTAAATCTTTGTCTCGACATTTACAGAAGGTGTTCCGTACGCCCTTCTTCCATTTCCATACACATTTGACGTCTTCTTTTTACAGAGTCGCGAACTCTATGAAGAAGATGCCAACGTGTATGTATGTCGCACAGCTAAAAACTAGCTTCCACAAAAATTACCAAGTTTTCCCACAGGTAAACATTAACTAACTGTACGATGCAACTGAAATTTAGATAATTTAATTTTTTGTCTCTGTGTCCAGTTTTAAGCTCCCACAAATAAAAATTAGTTCTGGTAATTAAATGTCAGCAAATGTATCACATGAATAGTTAATTTTTACATAAGCCTTATTTTTACATAAACCTTTACCTTCTGTAAGTATCGACATAAAATTTACACAGATGTCTTTCTATTTTCATATACGTTCGCCTTCTTCATAGAGATACCTTCTGTAAATATCGACATAAAATTTACACAGATTATCTTCTTCTCGCGTCACACATGCGACACGTAGAAGTCAATAAGACGATCATGATGTTAATATATGAAAATGTTTGTATCTCAGAAGCGGTTGAATTTTCGAGAATGTCTTTTTACTCAGACGGTATAGTGTGTACTATGTAAATATTGAATGTTTTTCTTCGAGCATTTTGTATATGCATGGAAAAAAAGAATTAGCTCGCACAGCTAAGAATTAGCTCCCAAAAAAATTTCCAAGTTTTTCACAGGTAAACATTAACTAGCCGTATAATGTAACTGAAATTTACATAATTTTTTGTCTCTGTGTCTAGTTTTTAGCTTCCATGAATAATAACTAGTTCTTGTAGCTAAATGTCAGTTGTATCACATGAATAGTTAATTTTCTTTTGTAGGCATATTTGTTATTCAAAAAAGGAACATGCTTTTCTCTCGTGACACGTGTACGACGCGATTAACTTTTAGAGGACTGGAAAGCCAATATATTGGCGTTACCTATGATCGATACTTAGTGTATAGTCAATCCATGATATAAGATACCTTTTTTACCACTTTACTAAGGCGGATATGCCCTCTCAAATCCCGGCCCTCTAAAGGTTAAACAATTTTAGCCTTGTACCTTGCTTTAGAATAACGATGTTCCTTTTGCATTCAATTTTCTTGAATTTTGCTGTGTAACGTGCATTTGTAACACAATGCAAGTTTTTTCTTATTTTTGATAAGAAGGCAACGTGCCAAATGAACGCTTTATCGCTTGGCAATCGTTGTCGTTGATTTTAATACAGCCGTGAAGATCGCCAATTGATTGAAATATCATACCGGTACAGTGTGTTACATATCCATCTTATGCGTATGTGCAACAAGTACCACGGATATTGCTGGCACGACGGCCACCACGCGCACGGAAATTATAGTGTCCGATGTATCGTGCATGAAACTCAAAGGGCTGCTCTAATTATGTTGTTTCGACCATTTATTGCGAGTCAGGCTAGTACTTTGCAAACAATGGAATGTAGATAATTAAACAATTGTCCAGAAAACTATCGTTGTCCAACTGTAACTGTCACGTTTATTTGATAGGTGAGAATGTCTGAAGTCAAATAATAAAATCAGCAAGGTCGTCGGGCAAACCTTTTTAATTATTTTGCAATATCGTCAAATGTGAAAATATTTTGTATGTGAAAGATAAAACATTTTATGATATAATAATATAATCTTGTCGTAAAACTTGCAAATGGAGGAACGTTGTAAAATACACTTCTGTACCGATGCAACGTTATTAAACAGAAAAAAATAAAATAGAAAGAAGAGAAAGCAAATGACAAAGTGAAATGCCGTATAACATTACTGCGTTATTTGTGTTTTATTTTGTCAGCGGTCGTATGAAATACCACGTGTCAATCGTTATCAAGATCGCGTTACGAAGATTAACATTGCGTTTATACGTTTATACGTTTTATCAGTAGTGATAATAGGAGCGATTAGCTTATTGTTCATGTGTCGTAAATGAAAGGCATGTATATTTTATGCCTGTAGATTAGTTTGTTGAATATAGAATTAATAGAGAAAGGGAGAGAGAGAGAGAGAGAGAGAGATAAAAAAAGACAATTTTTTATATAATTTTTCGCACAGTGTCAGCGAAAGGTTACGACGCATTTCTTTTCGACTAGCTTTGCTACGGGCGAAAATCGCTAAAACGGTCAGGCGATTTTCATCCGTTTCGAGACGCGTCTGATTGAAAAATGTTGCAACCGTTGTGTTAATATCGTTAATACACAATTTCAGCAACAGTAATTACAAGGAGGTTGAATGATATCGATAGATGCGTTATGCGTGCATTTAAGTAACTCAGTTACGTCGTTATCCTTCAGTCACTTGCACCGGTTTATCTTTGTAGATATCACTCTGTGCGAGTGTGCCGCCAGACGTATGTCATCGAACTCACGCGAAAGAATAAAACTCATTTAAATAAAACGCGCAACACACACGCATGAGTCTAAGGTCGGTAATTTCATCATACAGAGTGCTCCGGTAACCATTATTAAACAATCACGAATTATGCCTTTCACGAGCGGTTACCACAGTGCATTGCAAGGTGATTTAATTTACAATTTCCAATCTTCCAATCTGATTTAAATATTTATAATTTCATCATTGTATCGCATATCACGCGCGCGTCTAATTATATCGGACCCCTTTTATTCTTTTTAATTGCGTAACGGTTGCAAAATGTTCCATTATAAATGTTTCTATACGAGACTTTTTACACCTTTTACACAAGTAATAATTGTTTATCACATCGAGAGAAAAGCAGTAATACACGTGTTTCTCCCGCAAACTGTCAAATGCTAATATTGATCCAAATGGCTAGAGCTTACGTTATCTTTCTTTTTCGAAATAAGAATAAATATAGACATCGATGCGAAGTTAAAAAGTGATCATAGTATTTTTTCAATCAGTTGCCACATTGTTATTCTCACTTGTCCCTTGTTAATTTTGCAGTTCTTAATTCGAGCCGATAATTATCAACGTTCGCCTTCTATGCAGCGTCGATCCTATCATGACTCGAAGAACAAAGTCCCCTTTGCCCTGTAGTAGTGTGTGGCATATCTACTGCAGTTTCCAACAGGACTACAACAAATCTATAGTATAAATGCGTTGAAGTGAATATTAATAATTTACATCACAGCCCTCATGTCGCAAAGCAAGTTGGTAATATTTGATAAGTGAAAAATTTTCATTCTTTGAACTAGTAACAACTATAAGACCTGTTAAGAGCAATAATCTTATCGATAGATAAGATCGACCGATTACTATAGGAATTTCTGATGTTCTATATATTCTCTCAGGATAAGATTGAAAAATAAATTAAGATTGGATACAATGGTGTTCAAATGTGCTCATCTAAACGTGTCCTTCGATCGCAGCAGCAAAACGACGTTTCTTTATCCACATAATGTTGTATTTTGCCCAGGTGTTAGGTGAGCAATAATAGAGCAATAATAGAGCAGCTGCGTTCGCGTGACACACATCACGCGCGTGTCGTGTGGCGATATTAACCAATTGATTGTGAGAGAAAAGGACATTACGTGAGGGGACCAAGCAGAGGATGTATTACCAATTTAGAAAACATGCGATGTCATGCCTTCCCACTCGAAAACTTTTTTCCCAAATTTTTTCTTTTTACAGCGGAAAGAAAATCGAGAAAGTCGTTGCCTCGTCCCTGTGGTCTAAAATTATATTCGATTGTTCGATCCCGATTTCCCACCAAAATATACCGTCAATTAATATAAATTTCTATCGTATTTAAAGCAATTTCACATTTGTTATGCTGCATTATATATAATGCATATGCAACATATAATGTATTAACCTTAATTCATGATGAAAATTTATGTGGTAAATGAAGCTTATTATTATTTCTTCTCCGATAATTTCAAATATTTTAAACAACGATAAATATAGAATTCTTTTTAACTTTTCTAATACGAAATTTTCTAATGTATATTATATTTAACGTAAAACTGAAGTTGAAGAAATTTCAATTAAGTACGATTCAATATACGAATTAGGTATACTTGTTGACCTATCAAAATATATAAACCACATTTGCACATATTTAATATGTAATGTTTAATATGTAAATCGTTAACAAGATATTCTTTGGTTTATTGATAATTTAAATTAATTTATGCATCTTTCATTGTGTGTGTAGAGGGGCTTATCGATTTTTACGAGTTAATATACTACTTTGGTGGTGGGAGAAACGCGAATATACTGTCGCGAGAGTGTTCTCGCAGTATGCAACGGCTCATCCGGAAAAAATTGCTTATATCTTCGAAGATAAGGAATGGAAATATAAACAGGTAATTCATGACGCAAAGATCGTTTACCATTTGAATAAATTTATACTGTGCTGCGTATTTAATATTCACATTAATTCTCGATCATTTTCAAAGCCGCAATGAAATCATAGGTCGGTATAGATGGATCTTATAAGATCGTTTTAAGTTCACTTTCAGATGCTGTACGATTTCATTGGTTACGGAACATCTGCAGATGAACTTAAGACAATTTTAAATGTAAGATCTGAATATGAATACCGACCACAGTCATTAATCGTAGTTTTCCAACAAATAAAGATCATTAATATAAACGATTATTTCAAAGATTAAAAAATTCGGCAAACTCCGAGAGCAGCCATGCCGGTCAGCAAAAGAGTTCTTTGAATATGTATTTATAATTTCGTATCTGATTTTTATGATCTCTGAATACACTTTCCGAACTACTGAGACATTTTCTTCTATGAATATACGTATGCAGGAGTTTCCAGAATAATCCATTAGGAGTGCACCGGAAAATTCTTGATATCAAGCAAAGCAACTTTTCGTTTACCAAAATTTCATTCGAATGATTTTTTTAGTTTTTAAATTAGAGCAATTTAAATGTCTACATTTACCGCTAATTTCAACAGACTTTACTCGTATAAATAATTTGTATAAATAATATTCCATCGGCTTTCCAAAATCACAAATACTTTTGAAACGTTGGTCACCCAACACTTATAAAAAATTACACTACCATACAATGGAAATTGAAAGATAGTAGAACAAAGTGTCGGAAGCGTGTATTAATAAACACATTGATTTCAATACATATTAATAAATAAACGTTTAAGAAATAAGCGGTGAACGAATGTCTATAATATTCGCTTCAGTCGCGACCGAAAAGATTTCTAAGCCCGTCGATTGTTATTAGCGATACAGTCTGGTTTGGAAATATTAAACACGCATAATCACCCTTCACGTTCGTCTGGCACACAGTTGGAGCAATTCAGCAATCGTATAGGACGTTACTTCCGCACGAGGCCATTTTCGCGCAATGACAGTATAGCTCTAGTTATGGAGGGTCGTCCGGAGTACATTGGTACCTGGCTGGGTCTCAACAAGGCCGGCTTCGTCGCGGCTCTGGTCAACACAAATCTTCGCCACGAGACTCTCTTGCACAGCATCCACGCTGCCGGCTGCAAAGCCATCATTTTTGGCTCCGAACTTAAGGATGGTAAGACCACTTCCATTTGCCTCGTCGATGGTTGTCGATACGTGCTGGTTGTGCGCAAAAACCTCGCATGTCAGAAGCGCTCATCGCTCATTTTACAATCGATTCCACGCGGAGAGAGACACGTACGTATCCCGTGTTACCGCTTGTTACCGATATAGGAGAGATTGTATCGCATTACACGTGTTAGGATGGAGGGACGCCCAAGTGTGAAATACGGTGCAAGAGCCTGTGATTATGATTCTTGCTATGACAATCGTCACACGACGCGACGATGTATGGACGCGAGTTACCTGCATAAAAGCTATCATGGATTTTTTTTTAGCAGAACAATGTCGGTTTACCATATCTATCAGTACGTCAGTTTTGGCGCTTTTCCCCTATATGTTGTATGTGTGCAAGAATAACGATAAAAGTAACAATTATATTCGTTACCGTCACTCAAGAAATGTAACTTATAAACACGTTATTGTTACTAATGAAACAAAAATATAACATCGTCATGAAATTGTTATTGATAAAAGTAATTTGCAACGGATTACAAGTAACTCGTTACTTCCCAACTTTTTGACAGTTTTTGTGAACGTGCAACTTTACCATTGAGAATCATTGAGCGAGAATCATCGAGTCGGTAGAATTTTATTATCAATGATGTCGATGACCGATCTCTTTGCCGTGTGTAATTCGTGTCGCGGGAAATCGCAAAGTTTACCCTTTTCGTTGATTGCTGTCGCGAAACTTTCTCTAACGTGTGCGGCTTTCTAAATAGGCTCTCTATTGAATCGAGGAAAAATCAAAACTCGTTTTCGTTCCGCAATCGTAATTGAAGCACGTTGTATGCAGCAATTTGCGACATCAAGAGCAAAATTCCCGACATCGACATTTACCAATGGTCGGAGTCGGCGGACACCCCGGTCTTGGAAGGGGCGTTCGACCTCAACATGGAAATCAGCAGCATCGATCCCGGACCCCTCATCGTCGAACTTGACATTGGCAGCCCCCGGGACAAATTGATCTACATCTACACGTCCGGCACGACGGGAATGCCAAAGGCTGCCGTTATCAATAATTTGAGGTGAGCTTCCGCGGTTTCGCTTGTCATCAAATGCGCGATCGATCGTCATCCTCTTCAAGACCTCAGACATTTTTTATTTGGATACTTAAACCACGTGATACTTTTCTTTTCCTCTTTTTATACAAGACCACAACATATCAGCAAAATTTCAAATATATCAGTATCAATATTACGTATTATTAATATTTTATAATATTACGTATTATTCATTAATATATCAGTATTAATATTCATCAGTAAAAAGTACCTTTGAAATCTTAGAGAGAAATCATAAGAAAAATATTTCTCTTACGTAAGTCTCGGAAACTCACCATCACTGTTGTGATGGTAGGACACATACTAATGTATAGATACGATATATGATCATCACGATTGTGATGGTTGGGGCTTAAAGAGTTAACACGTCGCACTTTGCTTTAATTGCTACATATTGTTTTCAAGTTCAACTGAAGATCGTGCGATTGATGATCCGGTAAATAAATACACTTCTCGACGTGCGTATATTTTGCAACTTATTTTGTCAGTTCTCTATTAGTAAGATGAGTTTAATTCTGGTAACATGTGGTAAAATTTATGTCTCACGTGTAAGTTAATGAGATGCATCTAGTTATCGCAATGCCGGATGGCCATCACGCGAGACTCAGCAAGCTATCTTTATAAAATCACAGGGAAATGTACTTATATTGAAAGAAAAAATACTTAAAAGATAATGAAATATTTATCCAATGGTTATTAATAATATATTTGCTTATGCTAATATACATATTTCTCCATTGAAAAAATATTTTTTTCAAATAAAGGATTATATATATATATATATAATCCTTATATATATATATATATATATACTTTTTTTTAAATCGTGGCATTTCATATATATAATTGTTTTATTTGAACGTGAAAGTTTAAATTCGAATAAACATGTCATTAGTACCTATCGAATAAATATTTTTTATTTCTTAGATATTTCTTCCTCGTATGTAAAGAGAAACAAATGTATTCTTAATTTATCTTGACCTCTTGCATTCTCTTGCATTTACGTTTGTATCTTGTGACGTATTTATTTACATTTAACGATATTAAAATTTACTTTTAAACGATATTAAAACTGCGCTTAAATCGGTGAATGTTTCGATGAGAGTTATCGCCAAGTTTTCCTTGAAAGAAAAGGATTAAAAATAGATACCTTCTATATGTTACTGATACGCGCGAACTCACATCGCGGTAGTTATTTATTTTGTTTGGTGGTAAAATGAAAGTTTTGTACGTCGCTCAAATTAGAATTATTTATATACACACTACAAAACATAAATGCCATTTTATCTTTACGTAACGCATTCCTTCAAAGCGCTTTCACAACAAATCAGTTAATTATAGCGCGCGCCTGCTGTTTTTTCACTTTCAGATACATGTTAATGACATGCGGCGTGAACGCAATGCTTAATCTACGTCCGAACGATCGAATTTACAATCCTCTGCCTCTTTATCATACCGCAGGTGGCATAATTGGAGCAGGACAAGCACTGATAGGAGGTGTCACCGTCGTGCTCCGTAGACGGTTCAGTGCGTCCAAGTTTTGGACAGATTGCGTCCATTACGAGTGTACTGTAAGATTATATCAATATTTGTGCAAATCTAAGAATGATTAAGGGACCATAATTTCTCACGGAAAAGAAAGATTCGTTTAAAACGATTTCACAGTTCATATTGGTCATCCAAAAATATCTCGAAGATTCTGAATGTTTACGTTGTTAAATATTTTCATACAAATTTCGGAGAAAAATATTCACGTCCTTTATACGAAAACTGGTTGTAGTCAATGTACGATTGTAAAAATCGGCGGTTTCTTATGCGAGAATGATTCATAAGGCTCCGCATTTGATTCAAACTCTAGTTTGAATATTCTTCAAATATCTTTTTTGCCGTTTGAATCAGACTACATATATATATATATATTTTTTCTTTGTTCTGTTCCATAAAAACCACTATTATTAAAATTGTAAGACAAATAATCCTAATTGATTTTCTCGAAGAGAAAGCTTTGTACGAAAACATTTTATCCTACGTTCTTGATTTATTTTGTGAGAATTATACTCGTTCTGTTCGATTGCTTAAAAATTATTATTAACGATTGCTTATTTTATATCACCATTACGGCCAGATCCTGTATATTTTCAGGACTTTGTATTCATACGTCTTCAATACGTATTGCACTTAGAAATTGTGTTATGCAAACTATTTGTTGTGGAATAGTTTCAACTTTTTCATGTCATTGCATTACGAAATTCTTGGATTTACGTCATTGCATTAATAAATTATGAAATTCTCCCAATAATAACGGACATATTTTTACGTCAGATAGCACAATACATCGGGGAAATCTGCCGGTTCCTTCTCACGGTTCCTCCGGGTGAATATGACAACGCGCATAAAATACGCCTAATGTTCGGAAATGGTCTGAGACCGCAAATTTGGGAATCGTTTGTGAAAAGATTCGGCGTGAAGCAGATAGGCGAGTTCTACGGAGCCACCGAGGGAAACTCCAATCTCGGTAATTTTCACACATGTGTTCCCGATTAATTCCGCTTCGTTAACTAACGTACACGCCGGATACAATTTGCGCGTGCGTGTTTATCGGTAGCGTTTAAGGCCCCGGAATAATCATTGCAGTCATATTAGATTTGTGACATCATAGACGAGAAATGACACGTTGAGAAATATTGCGTGCCATTTGCGAATAAAGAGGAGATATTTGGATAAAGCAACATTTGAAGTCGCTTGAAGACACTTGTGAAAATGGAGGGAAACTAGCCTTTTCCCTCATTATAGTCAATAAATAGACGTGAAAGACACGCGAAACAAAGTTCTATTAATAGAGAAAACGCACGATTTCACGGCCGTTGAAAAGAATGGAAAATATGCTCTCACGTGTGTGAAATTCCATACTAATCTTGATTTTCGTCCACTTTACGAGTTTAGTAAATATGTCGCAAATCACACCTGCACAATTGAGCAAATGATAAGGAAATGACGCGCTACAAATACTTCGAAGCGTTTCTCCTTCTTTTTCTTCCTTTATTTGAACCCAAAAGAGAAGCCAAGAAGGAGAAACGCTTCGAAGTATTTGTAGCGCATGCTGGATGCATTCTATTCATCCCTTTGTCATTCTGAACTGTGTCGCTACTGTCAACGCGAAGTTCTTGGCGAATTATCTTAACACATCTCTTTTTTTCGAGGTTAGCGGAAATAATAATTTTGATCCAAACTAATCTATAATCATATCATAATCGTCAAGTGTTATAGTTGTCTAACGAAGAATATTTGATTCGATTCGCAGTCAATATCGACAACACAGTTGGCGCTGTTGGTTTTGTGCCGAGATACGCTAGTATGTTATACCCTGTCGCATTGTTGAGGGTTGACGACGAGACAGGTGAGCCGTTGAGAGGACCCGACGGATTCTGCATACCGTGCAAACCTGGTATGTATCTTCGGAAATTCATGTTGAGGAGGAAATGCGACGGAAGCATTGATATTTTCCGTAAAGAATTCATTTCGCGTTACTGCGTTGAATTTACATTGATAAATAAATTTGATTGGATTTACCTGACAATGAACAACGAAACATGTTTTGGTCGAAGGAAATAGAATCTCTGGCGATAAGAGCGAAATTTAATTCACGGGAAATTTTATTTCCTTCAGCGAAAACGTGCTTAGTTGTTTGTGTTGTACGTGTCTTGTCAGGTAAATTGAACTAAGCTCATTTTTCAGTGTAACCCTGCCTGCTTTCGGCATGGTGATTGGAGATGCATCATTTTGTCAACTGAATTATTTAGGGAAAATCTAATTAAAGTATTCGTCCAGGTGAGCCCGGTGTTTTTGTGGGCAAGATCAATCCGAAGAAAGCGATAAACGACTTTAGCGGTTACGCAGACAAGAAGGCCTCGGAGCAGAAGATCATACACGATGTCTTCAAGAAGGGCGATCGTGTTTTCAATTCTGGTCGGTAAAAATGTGGAATGAAGAATGTGTATGTCTATGCACACGATAGAGGGAAAGCATCAAAACCGACAAAGCTTTAACAAACTGACATACTCATGTTTCTTAGCTGTAAAGTATTGAACTCTTGAAAAAACATTTATTACAAATAAATAAAAAAATAATAATTTTGTTGTAGAAAAATATCGTTACGACAGCAGTAAGATTTAGTTGGCACAACCAAATTATTTTGTTGTTCATGTATTCAGCGAATAATAATTAATATTCTTTATAACAATTAATATTAAGTCTCTCTGCTGCCCAAGCAAATTTTTTGTTGTTGTCACTACATTAACAATTTGTTGCTCTAACAAAATTTGTTTTCTCCGTGTAGTTGTGATATTAGCGCTGTTTGATGTTTTGTTGTATTGAAGTTCTTGTAGAGCTATTTTTTTGTTAACTAAAAATTAAAGTAATAAACCGGTGGTAATTTATTTGATAATGCTTTTTATTGAGTTTTAAATCTTTCAAATCATTCTGGATACTGTGCCAATCTCTATCATCCGTCCACTGAACCACGCAAGGAAAGTTACGGTTAGGTTGTTCTGTAATTTTGCATTTTTTTAACAAGGCTCTTAGAGCCCAAAACCAAATGGTGTTTCGGTTTTAATGTTTTTATTCTACCACGAGCAAATCATTCGCATCATGATTTGGTTTTTTAAATAGGTGATATTTTAATCATGGACGAATATGGATACTTCTTCTTTAAGGACAGAACCGGTGATACGTTTAGGCACGTATTTATTATCTTATTGATAAAATTTATATCAACTATTCAGACAATTGACATTTTAACGTTAAACAAACTTATTGTTTTAACAATCTCTCTTCCCTCTTCTTTCTCTCTTTCTGACCGAGTTATAAATCTTTGTTATAAATCGGCGAATTTGACCAATAATATTACATATTTTTTGAAATTCAACTGTTTGAGTTTGAAATGTCTCAAATTGAAATGTTTCAAGTCGAAAAATTCTTCGAAATTCTTAAAACTGAAATTTTTATATCGGCTTGCAAAATTTTACAATCGAACGTTTTAAAATTGGATTTTAAATTACAGGTGGCGAGGTGAAAACGTTGCTACTTCGGAGGTGGAGGCCATCGTCAGCAATGTGATAGGACTCAAGGACGCTGCTGTATATGGTGTGGAGGTAAATGCCAATTGTATTTGCTCTTGACTAACCTGAGTATCAAAATTTAAATGACGTCGTCTCCAGTTTACACGAGTCAATACTCGCTTTAGAATTAATACGAAAGGAAAGTGAGTTAACGAAAATGTGATGAGGGTCTATCGTCATGCAATTAGGTACCCGGGAACGAGGGTAAGGCAGGAATGGCGGCTATATACGACCCGAACAATTCTTTGGACATCAAAGAGTTGGCGGAGGGATTGAAGAAATCTTTGCCCGTCTATGCTAGACCGCTTTTTATTCGTGTTTTGTCGGAATTACCAATGACCGGTAATCATACGAAGTTTCTATCGATTTCTTTTTCGTAGTCCATATCCGAACGCGTCTGTAATGTATAATTTGCATTAATAATTCACTTTATATATTTATAGGTACGTTCAAGCTGAAAAAGAAGGATCTCCAACAGGATGCTTTCGACATTAAGAAGGCAAGTTTTGTTCTCTTCTTCTCTCTTTTTGGTTTTTTTTTTCTTCTTTTAAATAATGCGACCGTTCTAATGACAGTAATTTTTTTGCAGATTAAAGATCCGGTCTATTTCCTCAACAAGGGTACCTACGTGAGGATGACTGACGAATTTTACAATGATATTTTACACGGAAAAATTCGGTTGTAATATTTCACATTCGTCCGAGCGCGACTATTGCTTTTCCGCGAATGAACTTCTCTTTTTTAACGAAAAATATTGACCTGCATTTTAACGTGTATGTCATACGTTTTCACAGATTTCCAGTGGTTAGAGCGTGTTAGATAGTCGGTAACATTATTTTTACGCGTCAATAGGTTATCGTGCATGTTTTCCTTTGCGAATGTGCGCATAAAACGCGGTTTACGTAGCTCGCAGAACGCAGGATGACGTTTGCGATCTGCGTCTTGCGTCTATGTAAGCCATGTAGACCGGGCTTAATATGTGTTATTTGGAAGCAATGTGCATTTCGTTTGCAGTTAAAGTAGACAAGTAGAAAGATAATTGATACATCGCAGATTACGGCTAATATTTATGACAGTAAATTTTTACGCGACAATAATGATACGCTTGTGTGTGCTTTGCAAATACAGCAAAATACATACGGAAATCTTGATACACTTAGCAGATAAAAATTCACGAGCGTCATGGAAAAAAAATCTTACATCTAAAGTTATGTCGAACGAATTGTATATAATGTGTTGTCATGTTTAATATCAGGTGTTGTACTTGCTTTAAATGCGCTTTAATTTTCATTAGTGATTGAAATGCGAAAGGATAAAAAATTGAATACCAAATTTGTTACGTCGAGTTGAGAAAAGGCACTTGTAATTTATGTGAATTCAACGATTATGATTAGGTATGAAGGAAAATCATAATTGTAGCAGGGGTAACGTCTGTCGATATTTCGGGGTTTCATCGTGCATCTTGCTAACTTCTCGAGCTTTAATTTAACTTATTCGTTAATGACACGCGTATGCTGCTGTCAATAAGTAAGGCTTTCTAGTTTGCAACATCGAAAATTTGTACAAAGTCCGTCGCTGTCATTGATATTTTATTTCTCTTAATTTTATAAGTCACATTTTTTTGAAGGTATAATTGTAATTGTCATATAATTTATGTGCTAGATGTGTATATGCGCGCGTGTGTAAAACTTTTCGTTAAATTATGCTGTAGGTTTTGATATTTACGATATTCACAACTATACGCGATACTTTTTAGAGAAATAGATACTCGCGAAGTTTTCCCCTTTCTCAACTCTGTGTTAGCTTCTTTTGCGATCACCCGGTATACACGATATACTTGGGATGAGGTAGCTCTGTTTCCTGCGCAGTCTCCGGTGCGTTCCAGTGATTCTCATTGCACCAGAGCAGTCGCGTAAATATATATATATATTGTTTTCTGCCGAAAGTCAAGCGGAAATACAGTTCGATGTAAAATTCCTAATCCGGACATTGTTATTCTTATATCGTCAATAAGTAATATCTTCCAGCTTCTTCGAAGATACATGTGTATACACATATATATTTAGAGAAATACTTTACAGAACTGTTGATTTCTATTTTTGTAAAATGTATGGCTGTTACACAAATAAAGAAATTTTATTGTAACGATAACTCTCTTGCCATCTAGCGCCTTTCTCTCCTAATTATAAGAGATTTTCTATCTTTGGTTATTTTTGCTATCTCTTCAATTACCGAGTTCTTTCTTCATTCAATCGTTTCTTTCTCTCTTTTCTTTTGGTTGGGAGGAAACAACTATAGTTCACCTATTGTCTGGAAATTCCGAAGAAAATTTGCCACAACGCAATAATACTGGTTAACGTATCGATCTTTCGGTTTTCGATTGAGAACCCTTACTTGGGACTTTAGTCACATATAATGAGTTCGCAGCCATGTTCGCAGGCTGATATCACGAAAACTTGAGCTAATATTGGTGGAGCTGCTGTCACGAGAAACACACAGTAAGCGATACCGAGAATAAGAGAAAAGTCACGCGAGAAAATCAGTGATACTCGTGCTGTGGTGTTCTTATGTAATATTGAGACGCTGTAACACTGTGTTGTACAATCGTTATCGCTATAGCGGAATATTCCCAACAACGTGTAAGTGCGTAAGGCGATTTGTAATCAATGTATAAATAACGGGTGTGATATTTGTGCACGTGTGCGTTAATGTATCGCTCATTAATGCTACAGTTTCAGTGGCGCGTCAACGGAGCCATTTATAAATTTGGCATTTATTAAGCGAAATTAGGGTTCTTATAGATTTATTTTGCTACCTAAATAATAAATGTTAGTTTCGAACGAAATTGATTTAGAGACATATGTACTCAATATTACAAATACGAAATTATTATTTTTTATTTTTCTTATTAATGCTAATATATTTATGTATCAGTTGATCAGATATAAATGCGTAAATAACAAAAAGGCATATCTCAAATAGCAAAGTGACATTAAATGACGTTTTAACAATAGAACTGCGGCGATTCCTTTCCTCCCACAGAACCACGGATGTAAATTACTTTTGACTCACTTCTTCTTTTGCAATTATCTTCTGTAATTAATAGATTTTTTTGAACTTTATCATATTATTTAAATGTTTTACGACAAAGAAGACTTCCCAGTGATGGAAATCCAAAGAAATGGAAAAAAAAGAATCTACAAGTAAATAAAAAACGATCCAGCCGCGATTCCAATGTTATCTATTCTAGTGACGTCTTATTGATGTTAGGGATATCATTAAGACATCATTAAGACATAATTTGCTATTTGAGATATAAATGTTTAAATATGTGCGTATATATATTTCCAATATTATTATAAATTAAATGAACTTGACACCACTATATATATTTTTAAAATAAAATGGTCAATAATTCTGAAATTTGTGTGTGATAGATAATATAACGTATTAGAACAACTGATAACTGAATTCCTTCTTCGTGAATAACGTAAATAAGCTTGTTATTAGACTCCGTGACTGATATATAGAGCATGACCTTGGAGCCGTATCTTTGAAAATAGTCATATAAATATCTTTACTTCTAAGAACAAGATTTAATTTTGGCATTTTCATTATAATACAACTTTAAGTTGAAAATGTGTCTTATTAAATTTTGAAATTTAAGACACACACACACACGCACACATATATATATAATATAAATGAAACATATAATAAGGTAGAATACAATAATTAAATAAATAAATTAAATAAGATGTAAAATTAGAAAAGATACGCGCAAAATGTTATTCATGCGAATCTTGAGAACTACCGTATAACACATTTCTGTTTTCCGTTTTCATTAGTATCGCCTCATCAGAGAATAATGGACACAAATGGCGATAAATTCGAATTTGCCATAGACCGCGGAGGCACGTTCACCGACATATACGCCAGATGTTCAGGTGGTAAGATTCGAGTCATGAAATTACTCTCGGTAGATCCAGCCAATTACGAGGATGCACCGAGGGAAGGTATTCGCAGGATACTCGAGCAGGTACCTTATGAATAAAATTGCATGCGGTAATCAACTGTTGACAACATAATAAAGTCGCCATCAGTTGTTGCAGTGAAAAGAAATTATTACGTGCTTGTAAGAGTTAAATCGTGGTTACCGTAACGATAATATTGAAATTATTGTAGAATGATGTATCGTTCAGCGTGTAATATTATCGCTACAACAATCGCGATATTACAGTCCCATAATTATCTCAAGAAATGTAAACCGGAGCGGGCAACTATGCATTACACCTTGCGTAATGTTATCTAAACTTTACTAATCCAGATCTCGGAGAATTTAATCAAAAAGAGCCTCATAACTTTATTGTAATATCATGAAAAGATCTTGATGTTAGCTACCAGAATATTGAATAAAAGAAAAGAAGTTTCTATTTAAGATTTTGAAGTCGACTTTCAGGTCTCCTTCATATCTGCGCTCAAGGTCAGATTACCTGAAATAAAAAATTTTTGTAATCTATCTGAGTGTACGGGGCAATTATCTCAGTCTCTCTCAAAATGCCAGACAATTCACGATTACGCGTGAATTTCAGGAAACCGGTGTTAAAATGGACGACAAGGTGGATACATCCAGGATAGGATGGATCAGGATGGGCACGACAGTTGCCACGAATGCATTGCTGGAGAGAAAGGGCGCGAAAATGGCGTTGTTGATAAACGAGGGTTTCAAGGACCTGATATTCATCGGTAATCAGGCTCGGCCAAATATTTTCGATTTGGTTCGTATAATTGAATTCAACAGACTTTGATCGCGCTCGTGTTCGAAGCAATTCGATATATCGCAAACTGTACATTTTAATCCCTTCATGAAGTTTACTTCGATCACACGACCGCACGATGCTTCCGCCTCGGCTCAAATGGTCTTTCGTCGAATGCTCGCAGGAAATAGTGACACCGGAGGTTTTGTACAAGAAAGTGGTGGAAGTAAAGTGCAGAGTGATTCCCGCTCTGACGGGCAGGTGCCAATTGGAGAACAAGTCGTGGCGGAGGGTCAAGGGATCCACCGGCGAAGATTTGTTCGTCACTCAAGAACTCGACGAGGAGCAACTGATGAAAGATCTAGAGGAACTCCGTAGCCTGGAAATAGATAGTCTCGCTGTTGTCCTGGCGCATAGTTACACGTCAGTGGATAATTACACTTCACTTGAACTTCAGTCGTTCATTATTACATAGGATGGGACAATATCTATTAGTAACACTGAATATCTTCGGAGAAGAAAAATATTTTATTAACAACTGGATGAAGATGAGAAAAGTTTATATTTACACACAGAAAAGAAACTCTGTTAGTAATAATTGTTTCTGTGTATTTTCATCTAGTTACGCAAATCACGAGATCAGGGTCGGCGAATTAGCGAGGAAAGCGGGTTTCTCCCACGTGTCCCTTTCGCACGAAGTGATGCCAATGACTAGAATAGTTCCTAGAGGTTTCACAACCTGCGCGGATGCTTACTTGACGCCGCATATTAAGAGTTACCTAGAGGTAATGCCATTTCTGTAATTAGACGTTCTGTAATTAGACGAAGAGTGATCTCGAGGATGGCAGTCAAAAGGTGTTTTGTCGTCTTCCAATAGTAACAAATGATTTTCCACTCAGGGATTCTCTTCGGGATTCAAAGACAATTTGAAAGGCGTGAATGTGTTATTTATGCAAAGCGACGGCGGACTAACACCTATGCATTCGTGAGTAATAAACACGTTGTTTGAACATACATGGAAAGGAAGAACATTCTTGTTTTAAGAAGATCCGTATTCTGAAGACGTAAATGCTGAATTGAGATTTGATAACTTAATAATTATTTTTATAATTATTTCACCGAACAGATGAAATTTGCTTATGCAAAGAAATTGCACGCGTAGTTTCACTAAAAATATAATATTCTCGTTATTCGGTATAATTTTCTTAATTTGAGTGTAAAGAATATTTCTATGCTTTATTTCAAAATTGAAGCAATAACATTACAGAAGAGAATGAAAGAGAGTACGTCGGAGTAGAGGTTTGGGTAACTTAGTATTAAGGGTAGACGTCTGGCAAGCGATAGTTCACGAGTCTAACTTTAGCTTCCGGATTATCTCTTAGTCTGTTATAATAATCAGATCTTATATTTAAGATTATCTTCAGTTAGGTTTATTATCAGATACTGTACGAGTTAATTAGCACAAAGCGTTTGAGGATGAATTTAAGACGCTCTCAGGTATAAAATCTGATTTATATTATGAAGTGAAAACGTTCATATTGTTTATATTGTTGAAAAAAAAATTAACATACATTGGTGATTCAAATATACAATTAGTCAAAACAACGCATTCATCTTTTTGATATAATTTTTTAAATTGCCCTAATAAGATGTATTATTTTCAAAATAATTATATTGCTCTCTTCAGTGGACTGTCGTGATATTGCAGTTATATAATAATATTGAGTGTTGAAATTCAAGATTATTACATTTTTGTAAGATTATATATTTTTGTTTATATATGAAACAATGGTCACGTCGATTAGAGTATGTAAGCCTTGGGTACTCAATTTTTTCCCGTGTAGTCTTTCCGAAAAGTCCGTCATGCTGCCTCTGTATTAAACGGGTTATTGTTTTCGTTTACGCTGAAGCTTCAACGGGTCACGCGCTATACTCTCCGGGCCGGCTGGCGGTGTCGTTGGATACGCGATCACGACTTACGGGAAGGAGACTGACATGCCGGTTATCGGATTTGACATGGGCGGCACGTCGACCGACGTGAGCCGCTACGGAGGAAATTACGAGCACGTTTACGAGAGCACGACAGCAGGTGTCACCATACAAGCTCCTCAGGTATAACTTCGAGTGACTTCAAGATGATTATTAACGATTAGCAAAACGAGCGAATGCCTGGAGATCTGCAAAACGCGCTTGTCTCCCGAAATATTTTCAAAAAGATCTCTTCAAGTGTCAGATTCTTCAGAAGAAGCTCTTGAAAATATCATTAAGAAAGAAAAACGGGAAAAAACAGTTTGATCGATAAATATCATTAAGAAACATCATGAAGAAAAAAAAACGGGAAAAAAACAGTTTGATCGAATTCACCTGAAATGGACGAGCAAAACGTGGTTGAAGGAAACAGAATTTCCGATTCTCGGATCAATTAAATTAAATTCCAAACTGTTTATTTCGTGTGGTATCGCGTCTTATCGCAGAGAGAAAATGGAGAAAAGAATTCGGTTTTTTAAAATCCAAATTCGGTTGAAGTTGGACGTCAACACAGTTGCGGCAGGAGGTGGATCGATGCTTTTCTTCAGGTCGGGTCTCTTCGAGGTCGGGCCTGAGAGCGCGGGCGCCCATCCCGGACCCGCGTGTTACAAGAAGGGCGGCCCCCTGGCTGTGACAGACGCGAATCTCGCGCTGGGCCGTCTGCTGCCCGAATATTTCCCTCAAATTTTTGGGCCCGACGAGAACGAGCCGCTCGATAAACGTTGCACGATAACGGCGTTTGAGGAGCTCACGAACGAGGTAATTGCCCCGATGTGGAACGACGGAGTCAGAGTCCGATGGCTTCTGTATTGCTGGAAATCTTCTCACGCTAAATAGTCTTTTATTTGTCATCAAATTTTCGATAATCTGAATGCCATTTTAAACTTACGAAATAAAATGTCTATGTTGCAGATCAACGGGTTTTTGAGTAAAAACGGAGAAAATTCCAAGGAGAAGATGACTCTCGAAGAGGTGGCTATGGGGTTCGTCAAGGTCGCGAACGAGACCATGTGTCGTCCGATTCGTGCCTTGACTCAGGTATTGTTGGATAGCTTATTGAAGCTATACGAAATCACATAATCTCGCTTATCAAGCCTTTGGATAAATAGGTTGATTTGGCTTTCGAGTTAACGTCCGACTCGGTCGCGGTCGGTCGTCGAGTGCGAAATTAAGATGCTTAATGTCGCGTCGGGAGCGGTTTCTCGGCTCGTCGGATTGCCGGGTTCGGAAAGAATGAACAGAAAGGCATAAAGTCTGTCAGTGGCATTTACGAAGGTAAAAGCCCCTTAAAAAGAAATTCTAGATACGAGATTGTGATTCCATGTAGTTTTTTCAGGAATGAATTTATATTCGTAACGCAGTGATGCAACGTCAGCCTCTTCGACGTTCTTATGTATATTTTCGATTGGAACAGGCGAAAGGTTACGACACTTCTCGTCACGTTCTGGCGTGTTTCGGTGGCGCCGGGGGTCAACATGCGTGTGCAATCGCGCGATCGTTGGGCATGGGCCAAGTTTTCATTCATAAGTACGCCGGTATCTTGTCAGCTTATGGTATGGCATTGGCGGACGTAGTCGAGGAGGTCCAAGAGCCAAGCGCCGAAGTTTACGAGGAAGGTATCATTTCTAACTGACGATAGAACTCTCCCTTTTCGTTTCTTACATATTGTTTTCTTCACGTATATTCCTACTCAGATAGCACGAGACATACTGCGTGTACTGTTCTGCAAATAACAAGCAAATTTTTGAGTCAAATTAATTCAAGAAGCCTCTACGCATGAGCATTTTCAATAATTCGAAATTTTGCGTATTGTTTACAAAATGTTAGAAGAACCTTTTGTTAACCTTAATGTTATTCTTAATGTTCGTTCTCACTAAGTTTGTCCATATTGATCTGGAACACCTTGCATATCGTTTGCCAATATGACTATGTATTTTGCGTGTTATTTGCTCGCAGAGAGCTTCGATCGCTTGGATGACCGCATTGACGAGATGCAGGCGAAAGTCAAGAGCAGATTGCGCGCCCAAGGATTCACGGACGATCGGATAGAAACGCAACCGTTTTTGCACTTACGTTACCAGGGGACCGATTGCGCTTTAATGTGCGTTCCTGTTAACGCAGACCGAGAGGAAAAGAAATTCCCCCGACACGGAGACTTTCTTGCTTCATTTCTCAGAAGGTGAGTTTCCAACGTCGCAGAAACACCAACTGCTCAACTCAAAAACGCTTTCGTTCACTATAATGATTAATTATTCACTCGTAAACTTTATCTTAACGAAGGTATCAGACCGAGTTCGGCTTCACCATGCCGGAACGCAAGGTCTTGGTGAACGACGTGAGAGTTCGAGGAGTCGGTAAAACTGAAATTTCCGAGGATCCTGTGTTACCCACGTCTTCCCAACCGCCAAAATTCGATAAGGTTAGACGGTGGATCCAGGTGGTGGATGAAACAGTTATCAAGCAGATTCTCGCCGAAGGCACTTAGATTCTCAAAGAAGCAAAGAAACGAAAGAATTCCACCGGCATTATTTCTGATTTTTCTTACTTTATGTTACAAATAGCCCCCACGATTTCAATATCGTGACGAATTACTTTAACTTGCATAAAAAATGTTAAATGTGTTAAAGTTAAATTTTAAATCAACCAGTTGAAATTAAATGAAACCCAGTGAAATTTAAATACGCTAATTTGAAAGTCATAAAAGTTACATACGTGACTTTTAAACACGTTCCCTATGTTAAAATAACGCAAAATTTAGACAGTTATTAACAGACAATTTTTTATTGCGTACTGTTCCCCGAGTAAGAATCATTTTGATGTTTTCCAGACCACCATGGTATACTTCGAGGGTGGTTATCGGCAGTCGATGGTTTATCACTTAAGTTCCTTGTGGGCCGGACAGAATATACAAGGTCCCGCCATTATCATGGACAGCCTGAGCACAATTTTAGTGGAGCCGGATTGCACCGCTGTAATTACTAATCGCGGAGACGTGCGGATCGTAATCGGGCAGTGTCATCGAACGACGAATATCACCACCGATCTCGACGCCATCCAGCTCAGTATTTTTTCCCACCGTTTCATGAGCATCGCCGAGCAAATGGGCCGGTACGTACGCCGAAGAATTTTCCCAGCGAATCAAGATGACGCTTTTTTGCACGCTTATCGAGACCCCGAGATTCAAACGCTCGCGTGTTTCCGACTCGGCAGAATACTTCAAAGAACTTCGATCTCTACGAACATAAAGGAACGACTGGATTTTTCGTGCGCGGTTTTCGGCCCCGACGGCGGTCTCGTCTCGAACGCACCCCACATTCCGGTGCACTTGGGAGCCATGCAGGAGACCGTGCAGTACCAGATAAAAGCGTTCGAGGGACATTTCGAACGAGGAGACATTATTCTCTCGAACCATCCGTTAGCCGGCGGCTCCCATCTGCCGGATTTGACGGTCATCACGCCGGTATTTTACAAGTACGCGCATCCTTTGCACGTTGCGTATTTCCCCGAGTCAAAATCTAGGCCCTGTGATAAACCTTTGATTCTGCAACACAATAGGAGCTGAGACGATAAAACAGGCTCGCGATTTCAGTTCTAATAATATAATTTACTCCCCCTTTGATTCGGACGATATCTGAAATTTCTGTTTTGCCCGTTTTAATATCACAACAGGCTGTTCAAGATAGCATTAAGATAAAATCTGTAGAATTACTGGTTCCTTCGTGTTTATGAAATTTTTAATTAGTATCTCGACGTGAATTCTTTTTGTATTCAGGGATATACCTGAGCCGGTATTCTTCGTGGCCAGCAGAGGTCATCACGCTGATATCGGCGGTATCACTCCCGGTTCAATGCCACCGCACTCTACGACGCTACTTCAGGTACGAGAATACTATGGTTGGGTAAATTTGAGGACGATTATGTATGAAAATTGTACTTTTGATAGGAGGGCGCTTCTTTCAAAAGTTTCCTGCTGGTACACAAAGGAGTCTTCCGTGAGAAGGAACTGACGGAAGCTTTGATGGCGCCGGGCAAACTACCGGGAAGTTCCGGTACCAGAAACTTGTCGGACAATCTCAGCGATCTCAAAGCCCAAATCGCGGCGAATCAAAAAGTACGATACTTGTATACAATATTCGTACATGTCGGGATTGTTTTTCTCTTACATACCGTGTAGATCATTAATTTATCTCGGACTCTCAGTAACGAGACTTTCACGTTATAAGACTATTTGTTCGCGTAAGGTAGATAAATAAGGGGGGCCAATGATGATAATAAAAATTCATAAAGGAAACAAATAAAAGGAATTTATTTTCTTCTTTTATTTAAGGGCTCGCAACTGGTGTACGATCTGATCGACATATATACGCTTGAAGTAGTTCAGGCATACATGGGTCACATACAACGTAACGCGGAAGTTGCCGTTCGAGAAATGCTGAAATCGGTGGGCACGAAAGTTCTACGAGAAACTGGAAATACCAGCATCAGCGCTGTCGATTATCTCGACGACGGCAGTCCGATCAGATTGCGTGTGGACATTGATATCAACGAAGGCGAAGCGATTTGTAATTTCAGGTAATGGGAATTTCGGGATGCATCTCGTTAAAGTCTATTTAATACAGATTGAAAGTTCGTAGTTTCTATTTCATATATTTATATATAATATGAAGTACAAAGCTAAAAGAAAAGGGTTTTTAAAACTCGAGGTCTCCGAATAGCCTTGATCGTTTTTAATTTGGATGATCATCGCGTAAACAACGAGCTTGAAAAATTTTCTTGCTATTTTTAGGCGTGTCACTTGTAAAAATAAATCAAATATTCTGCACCGACTATATGTTGTTAGGGTAAATTAGTGTAACTTTCGGAAATTCGGTCCCGCAAGATTTCGCACCAATTAGCGTAGCAACTTGTAACACAATCCGTTTCATATCATTTGATATTATCCGTAGCGGGACTGGTTACGAGGTTTGGGGTAACTGCAACGCGCCACGCGCCATTACTTTCTCCGCGTTGATCTACTGCCTGAGGTGCATCGTCGGTCGGAACATACCGTTAAACCAGGTAACGTCGCAACGAACGTCCTCGGGGAGATTTGACGAGAAATTCGAGAAACCCGATCTCCTTTTCTGCGCTGACAGGGATGTTTGAAGCCCGTGAAGATAATGATCCCGAAGGGATCGTTGCTCGATCCCTCGGAGGAAGCCGCGGTAGTCGGCGGGAACGTCTTGACGTCTCAGCGAATCGTCGACGTCGTCCTGAAAGCCTTCGAAGCTTGCGCGGCTTCACAGGGTTGCATGAACAACGTAACCCTCGGCACCGAGGAATGGGGTTATTACGAGACGGTTGCTGGTGGTAGCGGAGCGGTAAGATTATTACGGATCTTCTCGAATAACATATGCAATAACACACCCCCCGAGTTTCACGAAGCGATTCTTTACTCTTGATTCTTTAAATCTTTCGAGGTAGAATTTCACTAGAAAAGTAGAGCGAGTCAGCGAGTCACTTGGAATGGATTTTCATTCGTACCGGGTGAATTCCCCGTTTTGAATCCGTCGAGCGAATATTTTCACTCGAAACCGACGAGCGAATCTAACGTATTCCACATGGTCGCCGGAACGAATTAATTTAAAAGTCGATTGAAATATTCACTCGTACAGAGTCGGAATCAGCTCTAAGCTTGAGTGAAGCGCTCAATCTTACGGTGTTCGAGAGATATTACTTTCACCGTCGCGAGTTCTTTATTCTGAGGCAACGAGTACGTTTGCGCAGGGGCCGACTTGGGACGGCAGAAGTGGCGTTCACACCCACATGACCAACACGCGGATCACCGATCCCGAAATACTGGAGCTACGTTATCCGATTGTGCTCGACAAGTTCTCGCTCAGGTCCGGAAGTGGCGGCAACGGGATGTATCGCGGCGGCGACGGTGTTGTGCGCGAAATGACTTTCAGGTAATTCACACACCAATTCCACGACGAAGTCTGCAGCTAACCCGGCGTACTGCTTTGTATGCAGATGGCAATACTTTGCATATGTTACACCTATGTATGTGCGTAATTTTTTTCTTAAATTAGAATCTCAAATTCGCGGAACAAAGCGACGATAATCGTCGCTGAAGGGTTTCTTCCGTTCGTAGATCTTGTTGAATGCGTGTTGTTGACAGGGCTCCGATGACCTTGTCCGTGTTAACCGAGCGGAGGGTGAACAGTCCACCTGGGCTTAACGGCGGCATGCCGGGAGAACGCGGTCGTAACACTTTGGTGCGAGCTGATGGTAGAAAGATCAACTTGGGCCCGAAGACCGCAGTTCCGGTATACGCAGGGGTGAGAAATATTTCCAATATCTCTCTCTCACTATGCTTTTGTAAAATCGGTCAATAAGAGGATAAAGAAGGAAGCGCAAGATAACGCAGTTATTTTATTTGCGACATAACGTATACTACTTTGTCATAGCGAATAAATTACGTCGTTAACGGTTTGTTGTAAAATCGGAGTTCGATTACGTGAGGTGTGTGAAGAATCGGGAGAAATTCAAAGTGTTGTTTGTCGATAATCGGAGAAAGGAGTCTTGACGAATTTCGTTGCGAAGGATAATCCGGGAAGAAATTCGAAATTTGTCTATGGAAACGAGTGTTGATTATTCGGGAGCGTGCGGAGGGTCTGAAAGGACTCTTGACTTTTCATGAGGGATAATTCGTGAGTGACGAATGGGTGGGTCGTTGCGACTCGCTTTTTCGCACGGGTGTAATCGCGTAAAAATAAAGCGGCGCAGCCGAATAGTAAGGAATAGGCAGAGGCGAAGATGGAATGGTGGAGAAATTTTCCATGGTTTTACGCGGGGTCATAAAGATTTTATTACAGTAGATACGCGATCCGCTGTCTGCCGCGCCGGATGCGTAGTCGCGCAGCAAAGAGTAAAGTGATTTCCTTCACGTCCTTGTGTGGGGAGTTATGAGATAATAATCGCGTTTTAAGTTCCTCGTGAAAACGCCGCGCTTCAAGTTCTTCGCGCTGGTTCGAGCGACAAAATCCCGATATATCACTCGTGACCTTAAGACGGACACTGAATACGGAGCGGAAACTTTCTCATGAGAGGAATTTTACGAGATTAACATTGTGTAGTTCGAAGTCGCTCGGTCCTTTGAATACGTTTTTTTTATTAAGCTTCCTCATTTGAAGATGCCTCGGAGAATGGGAGTGAAGTGACACCTCATGTAAGGAACAACTGCTGGAGAGGTGCTGGCTCACTACCGATTTTTAGTGAACATAGTATTAGATACTAATTAGATACTGAAATGATAAAAACTCGAGCTAAAATCCGAAAGACACTGTAACTGTGTCGATTTTTAACATTGCGAAAACACAAAAAAAACTATCGATTCCCAGTAATGATTATTGTTACCGTACAATTGTTAATACTACAACTAGAGAGCATTTATCTCGTGTAGTTGTAGTGAAATTTGGCAAAAAACTGAATTTTCACCAAGAAATATCTATTTATATATATTTATAGATCATCGTGCGTTAATATCGTAAATCCGTATTTCAGTGCAGTGAATTATTACCTCCCCCTCAGTCTCTAGTACTGTTCGAATGTGCGCGATTCTCACATGAGACAGCATCGTCGTCTTTACTTGACGTTACCTGATGGTATTTATCATCAATGCCCATCCCTAACGCTCGACGCATCCACCAATTGCATATTATAGCTAGTGGATACCTGAAAAAGCCACGAATGCCTCGGCCTTTCAAGCTCGGATCTAAGCTTCAGTTCCGTCTGTATTAAGAGAAAACGGGACCTTGGACGGGAAGACTTGCGGCTTCCGTCCGGGTCCATAGTGCTTGCCCCTTCGAGCGAGATAAAAAATACGAGACGAGTCGGGGAGAGATGGGAGAAATGTGATAGGTAGCGCGCGAGGAAGGGAGGCGAGATGGAAACTGTATAACTGTGTGTACATCTGCCAACACAAAATTTCTTTTCGAAGTTACCGGAGCACGAGAGAGAGAGAGAGAGCCTGAGGCGGATGCGCATCTCGAATATTGTGCAGCAGTTAGCGCGAGCTCCGAAAGGATTACACCGTTATTACCGTGCAGGTGTACGCACCGGAATCCCCCGGCGCCTTTGCTCCTTTCGTTAGTGCCGCAGTTTCCTTTTGGAAAGTCCGCGGAGTCGACGGCGACGGCCGGGAGGATAGAGCGATACCGCTCTCGTCGGGCTCTTAATTTAATCTCGCCGGTATATCGTTGCGTCGGGGCGAAACGAATTCACGGTTGGCGGGGAAATTTCTCGCCTTTTCTCGCACTCAAAGCGATGAACGGCGCCTCGCGTTTAAGGCCTTTGTCACGGGAAGGTGTTCCTCGCCTAGCTGATTTATGCATTCCGCTGAAAAGTGGTTTGATGCATAATTCACTCCGGCTGGATAATGGAGAGAGTCTTAAGGAGATTATATTTAAAAATGTATCGCGGGAAAGGCGTTTTCTCCCCGCAGACTGTTCTGTGTGCAGTGCCAAACGAAGAGAAAGGTCCGCGGGATTTCCCGACAAATAATATTTCTTCGGTATCGCCAGAGGCTCACCGAGGTTTCTTCTTTCTCACATTCGCGTTTAACACGATGAGCTTGTCAAAACGGCGAAAGATTGCGCGTTATTACGTGAATTTTCCAGTAAATATAATTTCTGGAAGCCTCTGAAGGGTAACACGATTGACATACTTGGTCCCGACGGCCGTGCGATTTTCACGATAAATCCCCATTAATATGCGATGCGATTTTGCGGCGGGCGCGAACGCAATTTTCCAAAAATTTGGACGACGTTATTTTGCGACACGGTATTGCGTTGAAGTTTCGATGGGACAGTTTTCGGTGGTTTGGCCAAAAGTTGGGATGCACGTAGCCGCACACGCTCTGCACACACGTGTAAAAACCTCGGTGCGGTGCGACAGCATGCGAGCCATCCTCGTAGTCATCACTTCTCAATGTATTTAACTATTAAATTAATTATTATATTTAACTACGAACATGTAATTTAATGGTAACACGTTCGAGTTTTTCAAGGCAATGAAATGCATGACATCCTTAAACTCGTGAAAATATATATAAATATAAAATAAAAAAATATAAAATAAATATACACTCGTGTGCTACAAATAGTTATGACAAAGTATATTTTTATTTGCGATATAAATAGATGATTTAATCATATAATTGTTTATTAAATTTTAAATATAATAATATTGGATAAAATTTTACGTATAACTGCGCATTATAAACAGTTACAGTAAACATTATATATATATATATATAAAAGGATACATAGTTTTATGAAAAGGAGACGTACATTTTTCCTAAAATATAAATTGCGCTTTATTAATCAAGTCTGTCAATCAGCATTCGTCATTTCATTGATTAATATTAAGAGTGTATTTTGTGGTTTTCTTTTTAAAGATCTGTCGTGATTTCTTTACAGGACAGATTTATTTTGGAAAGTCCAGGCGGCGGTGGTTACGGCGTGCCTGGCACAAATACGTTGGCGACTCGTAACAGAGGCTCACATAACTTCGCGGAGCGCGGAAGTGTTTTTGAGTACCGGAAGGCCCAGGAATCCGTCTAGGAAGGCTCGCAGTTACTGCCGCGAGCGCGATGAATTGTGGTGTGGAAGACACATTCCGGAAAGGCGTCACAGCTGTAGCCTTCGCAGTGAGCTACGTCGCATCGCTCTAATAAATTTCCATTGTATGGCGCATTATTATTGTACTGGTGACATGGATTTTGCGCCGATAAATATTTCGATAGATAGATATAAAAGATAGAGATATAAAAGAAGGAAAAGAATCGAAACGATATATTTCAATTGAATCTTGTGTGTAATGCATAACACGTTCGAGTTTTTCAAAGCAATGAAATGCATGACATCCTTAAACTCGTGAAAATATATATAAATATAAAATAAAAAATATAAAATAAATATACACTCGTGTGCTACAAATGGTTATGATAAAGTATATTTTTATTTGCGATATAAATAGATCATTTAATCATACAATGGCTTATTATATTTGAAATATAATAATATTGGATAAAATTTTACGTATAACTGCGCACTATAAACAGTTACAGTAAACAGTTATATATGTATTGTATATGATTATATGTAGAAACTGTTTTATCGCCAAAAAAAGTTGATTTGTAACATTTTATTGATGTTATGTTTCTGTTAGATTATTGTTATATTTGTACTGATATACAGGAGACTTATAGGATTGTTGAAAATATATGTTTCAAATATTCAACAAAGTTGTTCGTCCATTCCACTTTTTTATGAATTACCGCAACCTATTCTTGAAATTTTTAAGATTTTCTTCTTAATTTGTTGCGATATTTTATCATTGAATTTTTATTACCCAGTTGCGCCTCTGACAGTCACTTTCAACCGTCAATTGATGTCTTCGAGAAATCGTCAATCTCCAGAGGAATTAAATTTACTGCGGTTAATTTCCTCGATTTACTGGTCCGTTCGATTTGCGACAGGAGCAAGATGGCCGTCGTTTCATTTCCGGCAAGGGTAATTATAGGCCGAAATGTCATCGTGCTGACCTACATAGCGGCAGGATTATGATTGCATTTCCACCAAACGTTGTTTAAGTTGATGCACCGATAATTTGATTGGCAGGAAGCTGTTTTTAGCCGCAATTGAAGAACAGAAAGATGCTGAAAAGCGTATTTCGATTCGAAAATAATGAAGGGAAACTAATAACACTATGAATTGCTAACAATTCGGTACGTTACGCTATAATTGCCTGATTTGGACGTACCATAATTAAGGTCTGTTTAAAATATAACAAGATTCATTATATAACACATTCGTAATTCATTTTTAATCTAAATCTCTCTCACTCTCTCTTTCTACATTCAGTGTAACGGCCCGCACGATTTTTGGGACGATTCCGACAGTTTAAGAAAGAAACGAGGGATATTTATGTAAGCTGCAACTTGAAATAAAGAAAAACAAAGTTTCTTTTTTCATGAAAACTCAAGGTGAACTTAAATATTTGAAATGGCATTAGTATACAATTCCCTTACTTCGAGGATAGAATTTTTCCAGTATGTTAAGTTGCATTTTTAAAACGTGTAATTTATGCGCAGATTACGTAAGATTTAATATTTCCCTATCAATTTCCATTTTTTCTATCATAAGTTAGTAGTTTTTATAACTTGGAGTTTATAAGTAGTTTTTTATAAGTTATATTGTAACCGTGCAAATGTTACGCATCGTTACCACACGGGCTAACCGGCCAGTCGGGCCAGTCGGGCCGATCACAGTGCTTGACACCGCATTAAACTTTCCGAGCAAACCGCGCGCGGCGCCACTGCAAACAGCTGCGCGCTAGCTGTATAAGTCGGTCACAGCGAGCTAACGAGTTACTCACGTCGCGGCTGCCTTCCAAACAAGATAGCCACGACGCCCCGGAGACCAAAAGATATTGTTGGTCTCTGCCAAGTATTCTCGATTACCATTTTCCCATCCTCTTCGTGGGCGAAGATACTCTCTCGCTCTACCGAGTGTTCTCGGTTCTTCCCGCCTTCGAAGCCTGCATTTTCGCGGTCCTGCTAAGCGCGTTCTCAGCCATCGGTTATCGGAGGAGCGGGTTTCGTCCGGTGTTCTCGACCTTCCGTGACATCCGACTCTATCTTCGAGTGGGTTACGCAGTTGACACGTCGCTTATATTTAATTATACGGAGAAAGATGTACGATTAAAGATAACATATAAGGACACATAATAAATATACAAAATAATGTCAGCATTTTTATTTTATTATTTTATAATTTCCTATGTATTATGGGTGTGTTGGTTTGGGTACGGCCTTGTTTCTGGAAGCGTCGATCCTCAGATATCATAAAAACATATTTACTTGCAAGGGAATATGTAAACATTTTCATAAGACTATCATATATGTTGGTAGAGAAACGTTACTGGCTTCCACCTAACGTACATAAATTTTAAGTTTACACCTTCAACGGGGCTTCAGAGCCTAAAAACGAAATGGCACGTCGGTTTTCCTGTTTCTCCCCCCCCCCCCC